AGGACGCGACGGGGAAGATTGCTGTTGAAAATTTTGTGGATGCGCCACGTCTTGGCAAACATTGTGCCAAACACCAGATCAAATCCAAAGCCCAGCAGCCAAGGAAGCGTGCGACAAATATTGGTACCAGTCGCTGGCAAGTGTGTCAGAGTTACCTCGTCCGACTCAGTGTCCACGCCCATCAGGAAGATGGCCACAAAGACGAGCGAGGTGGCCGCCAGCATGAGCTGCAACAGTGTCGGACTCGCAGCCCGGATGGCGCGGTGCGATCGAAACCCTCGGATGAGCAGAAATACAACAATTGTGAAGAGGGCAAAGAGGCTGGTGACGGCCTGAATCGAAATGAAGGCCGAGCTCGCGACGGTAGAAAGCTCCGTCGCCACGCAGTTGGGAAGAGAGGCCATGTTGGAAATGGCTACCTTCTGTTCCACTTGGTCGGGGCCGCACGAATCCGCCGTCGAGAACTCCAGCACGAGCGGCCCCACGTTGGGGACCAGGTGGGAGTCGACATACGTGAGCCGAATAAACAAGGTAAATGTAGTGTTGAATTGTCCAATAAAGGGTAGCGCGCCAGCGAATTTGCCTCCCGAAAGTGGTCCAGGAATGTAAAAGCGGAACGCGCCGACGCCCGCTGGCAAAAAATCTGCCGTGATTCGGTACTCTGGCCCGACACCCTCCAGTGTGGATCCAAAGGCATCGTGCACCTCCAGAGAAATGCCAAGGAAGGTACCAGGAACAATACGAATGGTGGAGACGTATGGGTTGACAGCAGTGCCATTCCCGCCGGGTGCAAAGCTGAACGTGTCGCTGTAGCTTCGCATGAAAATCACGCTCGGTCCTGTTGTGATTCTCGACGTCCTGACAGACCCGCCATCAAAGATTTCCAGGTTGTTTGGTAAAACAACGCATGTATCACAGACTTTTGCGCTGGCTGGATCGGAAAACAGCACGACACCGCCACTCAGCTTGCCCGCGACGTTGCCGTCGTAGTACACATGGGACGGCACAAACGTGCCCGACACATACCCGCCGCTGCCCGCAAGAGCAGCCATGTTGCCTCTGGCAATGACATTGCTCAGCATGAGGGTCCCCTTGGAGCCGATCGCAAAACCACCACCAAAGACGGCAACGTTTTGCTCAACCGAAACGTTGAACGAGTTAGCAACGATGATTGTAGCGCTGTCCTGCACGTACAGTCCGCCACCCATAAACCAGGCAGTGTTGTTGGCAATCACGGTATTCGAGCCATTGATGATGACGGTGCCTTTGCTTCCTGCAAACACGGCGCCACCGTACTGTGAAGTGTTGTTGACCATGATGCAGTTGTCCGCGCTCAGGAAGGCGCCTGATTTGGATGCTTCGAGAGCGCCCCCTCCATCCATGATAATGCTCGAAATGGTTGCATTACTGACGGCGCTGGTGGCAGAGTTGTCTTGCAGTGTGCAATTGTAGAGAAATGCGGTACCGTCGGTCGTGACCGAGACTGCGCCGCCAGAAAAGGACCGATTTCGTAGAAACGTGCAATTTTGCACAACGGCATAGCCACCGTTCTTGACGTACAACGCTCCGCGGTCGTATGCCGTGTTGTCGACAAAGAGAGAGTTGAGAATCCGGTCGAAGCTGCCGTCATTCGTGTCCGTGGCCGTGATTTGAACAGCCGAGCCCGACAACTGGTTGGTGTTGCCAGAAAAGACGCAGTCGTCAATCAACAACTGCGCTTGAGAGGTAAAGATGCTGGTCCCGGCGGTGCCCTCAAACCGAGAAGTCGTCACCTCGCATTTTGAAAGCGCCAAGTAGACGACGCCAAGCGAAGAAGCCGCCGACAGCGCAAACACGGAATCGTGAATGTCAATCGATGTGGCGGTCGCGTAAATGGCTGCTCCGTTGATGGCGGTGGAGTTGAAATCAAACATGTTTCGAACATGTATGTGTGGTGAGCTCACGATAAACAAGGAGCCGCCGTTCACGGCCGCATTGTTCTCCAGACGCACGTTGTCGAAGGTGGCATTGGCGAGCTGCACCTGAATCGCGCCGCCCACGCTGTTCGAGGAGCAATACCGAATGGTCACGTTGACCAACGACGCAGACACAGTGATGCCCGATATTGTCATGGCCCCTGAGCTGCTCATCGAAAAGCAGTGCTGAATTGTCAGGTTGGCAAACAGCGGCGTGCCGAACGATACGTCAAACACTGGTCCAGACGCGCCCATGCAGTCGAAGATTGTGCCTTCTTGACTCTCGCCAATCAGTGAGACGTGCACATCAGCAACCAAGACACCAATGTTGCCAGGGCCCGAGTACACCCCGTTGGCCAAATAAATGGAATCGCCCGAGTTGGCCGTACTCATGGCTTTGGAGACGGTGCGGAACGGCGAGGTTGGCGAGGTTCCCGTGTTGCCGGCATCGTCTCCAGCAGGTGCGACATAGAATTCTGTCCACAAAAGGGAGGTTGAACGGTGATGAGAAGGTTGATCATGGAGGTGTGACATGCTGGTCCGGTTGTGTTTTGGTCCTGTCAATCAAACCCTGCCCGACCTCTTCAACCCCTGCCACAGCAGCTCCACTCCAACTGGAGTCCATATTCGGTCGGAGAGAAGCGAATGCTGCATCATGAAGAACGACAACCCAAAAACACACAAAAAACAGCGACACGAGCGCGTTCTTTGCCCATTTTCAGTGCAGTGAACGTGTCTATTGCTACTACGGCAACCGCATCGCTGCCACCCCACCCCCTCACCCCCTTCAAACAGCATGTCTTGGCTTTCCTCTCATATGCTAATGCTCTTGGTCTGCTATTCGTCCTATGAGTGCAGGACGACGAGCTCTCCGTTGGTGCCACATTTAGCCACACCTTTTTCCCATGCGAACACCGACACGTTCGCACCCTCCTCCCTCCTTCCCTCCTTCACTCTTCTCCCCCTTCGATTCCCATCTCTCAAGTCATCTCTCTCAGTCCTGCTTCATGGGGGGGTGTGGGAGTGAGCTCGGGCGGGGTCCCCGTTCGACATGGGTGTCAATTGTGCGAGTCTCGGCTTTTGTCGTCTTACTCACTCACTCTCACTCTGTCACAATCACTCTCCCGCGCGCTGCAGTGCCGCCTTGCTAGGATCCACCCGCCATTGCGCCATCGATGCGCACTCACTCAGGGGTAGGAGGAAGTGTTTGGACAAGAAGGACGGATGCTCAGCAAGGAAGACGTTTTTGTTTTTCCAAAACACTTACCAGCGGCCGAGCTCGGCCAGACCCACAGTCCCAGGAGCAGCACCACCAGCACTTGCGCCAGGGGCCGACTGGGCAGGAGGAGCCCCCGCGGGGGTGGTCGCCGTGACCGCACCAGCACCAGACCGCTCTGTTGGCCGCGCATGAAATCGAAAATGGCGTTTCCAGTGCGCGTTGCCAAGTCGTTGAACGAGCGAGCGAGCGGCCGTCGCGGGCTTAGAGAAGGAATTGAAGACAGATAGGTGAGAGTGAGAGTGATAGACAGAGTGAGGAAAGAGAGGTTTGAAACGAGAGAACGAGAGAACAAAAATGCTTTAGCTGTCAAAAAAAAAATAAAAAACAATGGACTGACACTTCTCTGCTGAGAACGTAAACCTGGACATGTCATGTACTCAGACTATAAATTACACGCAACATGAGATTCGAGCGAGACCAAAAAGTACAACCATAGGGGAAAAAAATAACTGCACTTCCTCAACGCAATCGAGCATCAATGGAGCTTTCGTGTCCCTCCAGTGCTAAACAGCACCGTCGCTCCCTTTTTGCCCTTCTTGCCGGCTGCTTTCTTGTCTTGAATCGGTGCATTGGTGCCAGCAGCTGCTGCTGCAGCAGCACTGCCATCGACACTCTCTGGCACGCTCAGAGATGTCCACAAAGACTCGGCAAAGGTCTCCCGAAAATCTCGAGGCCGCGCCTCCTCATCCGAATCATCTCCATCAAGGGCGTTGCGGGCTCCAGACCGGGCTCGCGGAGAGAAAGAGCGTTGCAGCGCAGTCAACCCGGACATGGGCGTCCGAGCCATACCCGCCCAACTGACATTCGTGCTCGGTGCTGCTCGACTCGAGTCGTCGTTCAACAAGGTTGTTTTCGCACGACCATTGGCCCAGCTGACATGCGGATTGGCGTCGTGGTTGGACAGGACTCCGCACTTGGCTGCTTGAGCGAATGAAGGTGGAATGTAGGACTACACGAGCGACATGGGCGACAATGAGAGCCAGTCGGAAACACAAAACCCGACACGCACTCGAGAAGCCTTACCGCTGGTTTGGGCTCCGTACTGGCTTGTGCCACGACTGGCTCGGGCGCAGGAATAGCGCCTGGAAGCGCAGGTAGCTGTGAAGGGTCAAAGGACATTGACAACGGCGCAGGAAAATCGCCAAGCGAACGCGTGTCAATCAGGGCTTGTTGGTGTTGTCGCCGTGCTTCTTGCTCTAATCTCTTTTCCATTTGATGTTCTTGTCGAATGCGGCTGGATCTGCGCTGCTTTCGCTTTGCGAGTTCGTCTAGTGATCGAGCCAAGACAAAGTGAGACGAAATGAGGGGCCAAAATTGCTCAAGAATCCAGACTCACCACCAAATTGCCGCCGAGTCTCTGAATTGAGCATGTCATTCAGGTCTACTTCGCAAAAGACAAACTCGGTGGCCTGAGCGAGGTGGCCCAAGACGCGGAATCGCTTGCGGGTTTCCTACCACAGAGGCCAAACAGGCAGGTTAGATCACGCAAAACCGCGTCAAAAACCGTGTTCATCATCCATAGCTAATCAAAGGACCACCAACCTCTGTTTGGATATGCGCTTCGTTTTCAAGGACTCGGACACGAATGGTGGGTGGACAGTGCGCGAGAGAGTTGCCGTTTTGGAACATTAAACATCGAGCATTGATTGGGTGCATGAACACTCGCTGCCCATCGGATGCTGCTCAATTGAGAATGCCAGGGAAGTGAGAGTGCGCGCAGCATCAAACTGACAGAGCAGGTATTTTTGTTGCTCAATCTTGCCTTGGTAAAAGTATGCCGTGTCAGGCTCAACCCCTGCGCTGGAATGGTGCGAATGCGCAGGAGCACTGCTTGAACTACTTGGAATAGGCTCGTGGTCGGCAGCTGCGGATTGCTCAACTTGATCGTCGTCTTCTTCATCTGAAAAGGCGCTCTCGGTGCTTGTTGGTACGCTCTGAACATTGAACGATGTGTAGTGTGAGAACCGGTTTGAATACTTTTTAGTTGTTACCAACAGCGCTCGCCCTACCGACTGAGGCTTCGACCACGCCGAGCTCGAGACTGAAACGGGCGCCGCAGGGGCCATAGATAGAGTTGAAAATTCGGCAGAAAGCAAGGTGCCGACACTCAGTAACGCTGTCAATTGGCTCTCCCTCTGTTGCAGAGCAGCTTGCGCCATCGCGATGAACGCGAGTTGTGGATCAGCCGTCCCACTCGTTTGGACTAGCTCTTCGTACTGCAACATTAACTCGGCTGAAGGCAAAATTGTTCGACAACAAAAAAAAAGGATCACGGGGTTAGGTACGCTTGCGAGACGCAACGAGAATGAATTTCAAATGCCCCCTTACTTTTTTCTCGTGCGATCGTCGTGTCAAGCACTTGCGCTGGCGTGATTCGCAATACACGGCAGTGTTGCTGGATGGCCTCCTCCTGTTGACCCGCAATGTAGACGTCCGCAAGAGCATACTTTGCTGTCGCACTCACAGGCACGGGGATGGTGCAATTCTAAGAGGGGGCGAACTCAAAACGTCAGCTGGCAATCCATCATCCATCCATGGTGAAACAATCGTCACACATCGCTCTGGCTTTGTTACCTTATCTCGCGCCATGAGAGTGAGTGTCAACATTTCGCCAACAGCCGGGGTGTGCTTGGCAATTGAGACCGCGCTCTGTCAACAGCCCAAGTGAGTCGCAAGAATGGAATTTGATGGCTTTCATTCGGTTTTGGGGGGCCTTGGTGCTTACTCTTAAATCTTCAACATGAATGGCTTCAAAGCAGATGGGACACTTTCGCCATGGGCGCTCGCCGAACGAAATGTACTGCAGCACGCACGCCCAGCAGAAGACGTGTCCGCATTGAGCCATTTTTGCTGCGATTGGATGGCACAGGCAAATCGGGCACGATGCAGTTTCGTCGTTTCCACTCAGAACTCGAACCTGAATGCACAATTTTAGTTTCAGATCCGAGCCCGAACAACAAGCTCAACATCAAAGCACATCTTGTAAAAACTCGAAAGAGTTTACCTCTTCAATGGTGCTCCACTCGGTCAGCGCGTCGGGATCGGTGACAAAGGGGAGGGTGTTTGCCGTGCTTTGAACGAGCATTTGACACTGTGTTTGAAGTGTCTGCTGCTTGGAAAAGCTGGTTGCGTGATGATGGTGGGAGTGGTGGTTGTGGTGACGGCGCTGGTCGTGTCGCCCATAACTGGCACCGGCTCCGCTCGCTCCATGACGAACGGGCGGTCCATACGTAAAGTTGAGCAAGTGGTTGCCACTGCTCGTGCCGCTGGAATGGCCAGCGCTGCTTGGAACGGGGTGATGCGAATCGGAGGCAGCTCCCCCTGAAGAGAACGCTCCGCCACCGCGTCGTGGCGCAGCCTGGCCTTTCGCTAAAGCTTGCCGGGGTGCACGCTGATCTCCATGGCCTTGCGATTGGTGCGGTGCGCGATCAGGAGCTCCACGATGGCTCGAATTGTGACTCTGAGCATGTTGGCCACCGCCACGTTGCTTCCTAGTGTCTCTGGTCGACTGTTTCGCATGGGATCCAGATGCACCATGCTGGGCTCCATGCAATGAAGCCTGCGCTGCGGTCTGGGCAGCTTGCTCGTCTTGAGCTCCGTTTGCGTAATCAGTAAGATTGGCTCTGGGCTGCAGTCGTCCGTCACCACTGCTGTCATCTGCTTGACGGTGCGCTCCACTCTGACTGCTGCGATGGTGACCACCAGCATCCTGTTGCTCGCTTTGCCCATCGGCGTGTTGGACGCGGCTGGTGCCCTGTTCACGGACTCGGTCGTCATCAGCAGCATTGGCTTCATCGTGGCGCGTCCGACCGGCCATTGACAAGGATGATGATGAAGATGGCTCTTGTCGAGAGCTTGCGCTGCTTGAGTTGCTCTGTTCTTGCATTGGACGCGTGGCTGTTGCTTGAGCGCCAGCAGCAGTGAATGAGAATGTCGCCGCGTGAGGGTTGAGCATGTTGTGCTACGACTCTAGTCTCACTCAAAGACCTCTATTCTGTAAGAGAGGGCTCAGAACGCTTAGGAGATTGTAGTATGAATGAAATCGACGAGAGGGAGACAGACTGAGAGACAGAGACTGAGAGAGTTGAATGCAAATCTGAGAAAACCCGAGCAAAACAAAAAAACTGAGACTGGTCCTGTTTGTTTGCTGTTCGCTCTCTCGACTCTCAACTCCAACCCCCTGCTCTTCTCTATTCAATGCACTGCTTGGGCTGATGAGGGACGGGGGGCAGGAGGGGGGGGTTGAACACTACAGATCGAATGTTGCTCACTACTCGATTTCCCAGCCTTTTTGCTCGCCCTTTGCTCCATCATCATCATGATTACAATCATTATCATCGTCATGATCACAATCCATGCTTGGATGGATGAGTGCAAAATGTGATTGTGTTTAATTTCAATCCTCATTTTTTTTTTTTTTCCATTGCATTTCCATTGTGAGGTTTTTTTTTTTTTTTTTAATCTCCTTTTCTCTCTCTCTCTCTCTCTCTCTCTCTCTCTCTCTCTCTCTCTCTCTCTCTCTCTCTCTCTCTCTCTCTCTCTCTCTCTCTCTCTCTCTCTCTCTCTCTCTAAGTGTTTGAATTGCCTCCACCACATTGAGTGTGTGTCGTGTGTCGTGTGTCGTGTGTCGTGCCTTGTTCTTCTACTCTCGTGTTGTGATGCGCCCTTTCGCTCAGCCCCTCTTTGCTTTGTGGTTTGAGGTGGTTTTGGGTTAGGAATGAATGACCGAAACCCCCATCTCTCATTCTCCCCCCCCCCCTGTCACTCTTGGACTCCTCATCTGCTTTCCATAGTAGTGATAATGATGATGATGATGATGATGATGGCAGTGCTGTTCTGTCTATCGCTTTTTGTGCCTGGCTCCTGCTCTGTGGAGCGACCAATTTCTCTCTCTGTCTCGCTCCTCAGACGACCATCAACCACAACCAGCCGACCGCTGACTGAAAGACTCCCACCACTCACTCACCACTCCCCTACCACCCCCCTTGCGACTCGCTCACCCCTTCCCCTTTCCCCCCTTTCCACTTCCCCCTCCCTCAGCGAGGTCGTTTTGCTCGATTTTGAAAAAAAAAAAAATAGTTTGAAAAATTCTGATTGAAAACGGATGCCATTTTGGAAGACGAGCGACCTGCAAAAAAAAAAAAAAGGAAGAAGAGCGAGATTGGGTAAGAGAGAGAGAGAGAGAGAGAGAGAGAGAGAGAGCGAGAGAGAGAGAGGGGTGGGGGGCGACGGAGGGACAGGAGGGCAAATGGACAATTGAGTGTGAGAGAAGCGGGGCGCGCGAGAGTGTCACACACACAAGAGAGAAGGAGAGAGACAGGTGTCCAAGTGAGGCGAGAGAGACTGATGATGATGATGATGATGATGACGACGATGACGATGGAGTGCTGGAGTCCAGTACGGAGCAGAGAGAGCACACAGGGCGCGCTTCATGCGAATAGGTCGAGCGGTGACCCTCTGTTCTCTATCTCTCAATCTCTCTCTATCTCGATCTCTATCTCTATCTCTATCTCTCTTTCTCTTCCAACTCGCATTCGTGTGATTTCAATCTCGGGGTGTGTCGGGTTGCGGTTGCAATATGCTGGGAACTCGAATTTCGACCACCACCCCCTTTTTTGACCCTTTACATTCACTCACACACTCGCTCAGGCATACTCACTCAGTCATGCTCACTCGACTCAATCACTCGTGAGCACTCTTGCAATGCCAGCGACAAAGCACAAGCTGCTGCTGGAGTCGAGTTTGAAACAAACCGCCTCTGCGGTCTGTGCCTAGCCACTCAGACACACACCCAAGCATCACAGACACAGATCAGTCACCCTTGCCATTGAGATATCGACAGTGTGTATCGCCATGGATTCAACTCTTTCGCTGATTCGCTTTCTCTTCACCTCATTCCACTAAAACCACACAAACATCATCCACTGCAAAAGCCTCTCTCTATCTCTCTATCTCAGACACTTGAAAACATGGCCCTGAGCATAAGCTACGTGACTCACTGTTTGTCGCTTCTGGGCCGTGTTGACATTGGCAGATTCTTGTCATTCTTGACCTTCCCTTCAAACGACAAAAAGCCTCAACCTTCGGAATCTCGAAACCGGTCCTCGATTGCTGTTGATATTGGTCCCTCCCGTTCTTGTCCTGAAGGAATGGCTGAGCAAGCTATGGCATCCACAATGTTGCCTGCTCGGCCACCACTCCTCGGTGGGAATATTCGACAGGTCCCGGATGACCTCCCGCCCCCGCCCCCGCCGCCAGTGCTGGGCTCGCCGAACGCTGTCCTGCCGAAAATCAGCTCAGTCTCGATACCACTGCGTGCCTTTAGCGCATCGCAGGACAATATCCACATTTCGCTCGAGAGCTTGGTTGTGGCCGACGAGGATTTGCCGCCGCCTCCACCGCCGCTGTACGGCAGTGCATCGCTCGTCCAGTATGCGCTGCTTCGGAGCTCGCAACCAAATCTAGCCACGCCTCCAGTCAGCTCGATGCAGACGCCCATCTTTCCTGCTGCAATCACAAAACCACCATCCACAGAGGTGGACTTTTTGCCCCCACCTCCCATCATGACAACCCAAATCAACTTTCAGAGTGTGTGGTCCCTGAATTCCGCCTTGTCGTCGTCAACGGCGACGTTGGCAGGGAACGTGGCGCCACTCACTCCGCTCGCCACTCCGACCACTCCGCGATCTCATGCGCGGCACAACAGCAGCAGTAGCATTGCGTCCGGAGCAAGCCTCGTGTCTGGCAACGACAGCGGGTACGGTGACCAATCTGCGGACGATGATGCGGTCAGTCACGGCAGCACCCAGGAGCGGAAGCAGACCGATGGCAGCAGCACGCCATCGTCTGCCCTGTCTGCCCGCACCACACCTCTTCCATTCCAGAGCGACAACTCTAGCAGCGCGAACGAAGATGACGATGGTGATGATGATATCAGTCATCTGTCCTCCGCCGCACGGACTTCTCGCAGTGCGGCCAAAGCCAGCAAATTTTTCGGTGTCGATGCTCCGCCACCAGCGGGCATTGGTGCCAAAGGCACGGTTGTTTCCCACTCGGCGGCGGGCAGCGAAAAGTCCTCTTTGGCCCGTAACCGGCGTCGATTGAGCAGCGAGCCGCCTCTGCCCAGCGAGGACTTGCAACAAGTCCCTGTCGCAAAGTCAAGCGGCGGCTTTCTATCTCGGCTGGGACGCTCCAAAAATCCCCAGCCAGCGGGGCGAACTCGGTCCCACATTGACACCATCAGCAGCAGCAGCAACGGCAACATCAGCAGCGTGGATCTGTCGGAGCGGGTGAAGGCTTCACAAAGTGTCGACAGTCTCATCCTCCCAACAGAGGCCTCGCCGCCATCTACGCGAAGCAGAACATTGAGTAGTGTGAGCGCGATCAGCACTGGGAGCGCGGGCAGTGGATCGGGAGGCAGCACGCCTGTTGCCACAATCCAGCCTGGCTCGCCTTCCAAGCAAATATTCCACCATCTGCGACAATCCTCCAGCTCAAATTCGGTGGACGGCGACAGTACTACTGAGGAAAATACTGATGCCGATGGCGGTGACGACGACTTCCATGCATCACGCCAACGACGCAACTCTGCCAAAGTCAGCAAATTTTTTGGAGAGGAAGTTGCTGACGCCAATGCGGCTCCTGCCTCTCCTTCGCCAGCCTCACAGGGACGGAGAATGAGCGCCGCCGCCGCGTTCGACCACAACACCAAGCCGCGGTCACCCACCCGCACCCTTCTCGTGACTTCGCTGATGCGCGAAAAGAACATGGCGCTTGAAAACAGTCGGCGGTCTTCTGAGGAGGCCGCGATGCTCTCTCACTCGAGGAAATTGAGTATGTGGATTTTTTTTCTTCTTTTTTTGCGCTGTTGAACGACCCGAGTGCTCTGGATGCTGAAATTTGACCGACTCATTTTTAAAATTGTTTTCTCGGGTAGGCAAATTCTTTGGAGACATGCCCATCCCTACCAACGCCGGTGACGATCTCAGCAGCTCTAGCAGCACTGGAATGCCCTCTACTCCTTCAACGGCTGCTGGTACAACGCCTCCCTCGCCTTCTACGCCAGGAGGCACCATCAGCAAAGGCAGACATGGCAGCGACGAACGCATTCTTGTCCTCGTGGAACGCGGCGTTGACGATCTCGAGCTCAAGTTCCGCAATCCGCAAACGACAGAAGTGCCAATCGTCGTTTCGGGCACGCTTCAGCGCATTGTCGTCCGCGTGACGTACGCGTTGTACGCCGACACCCAATTGGAATCCACCGTGTTGCTCACGTACAGCATGTTTACCACCCCGGATGCCTTGTTGCAAGCGCTCATCGCCTGCTACCAGTCCCCGTTCATTCCCCCGGGCCAGCGCTCTCGTACCCCCGAAGAATTGCACAAGACTGTGCGCCTCAAAGTGCTCAAAACGCTCATGACATGGGTGGATCGTCGAAAGCTCACCGATGACAAGCAACTGAGTGCCTATTTCTGCAATCCCCTCAATGCTCCCGTTGGCGCTGTTGGCAGTATCATGAGCCTGCAGGGGTCACCCATCGCGCCGTTCGCAGCTTTCGAAACCTCCTCCCAAACGATTGTCAAGCAGATTCACGATTTCCTGGAGGAAGTTGCTCATTCTGGTGCTCCCGCAGAACTCACGGCAACTGCCAAACGCATCGAGAATCTGCTAGAAGTGAGAACCTTGTTGTTGTTGGTGGTGGTGGCGGTGGCGGTGGTGCAGGTGTCGTCGTTTGTTGCTGGCGCCTCCTGTTTCTGTTGGATCTGTGCGCGAGTCTCCCCACTGACCCTATTCTCTTTGTATGTAGACCCAATACTCGTTCTCATTCAAACCCAAGGCACGTGGCTTTGTGGAAGAACGCACAGCCGGGTCCGCGGCGATTCCAACAACTCCAGAAGCAGATTCTGCTTTGCATCGAACTTTCCATGTCGGTGGCGCACCAGACGAAGGTCTGTCTTCATGTCCCTATGGTGCACTTCTTGTTCACTGCACGTGTGATTGATTACTTTGCTTAATGTGCTCCGGTTGCTGTTCTTCTACTTTGATTGTTGTTGTTTGTTGTTTGCTGTTCGTGGGGGGGGGTTTATCCGCATCCGCAGATGACAAAAAACGCCGCAAGACCAAGAATGTACTCGCCCGCACAAGAGGCATCGCTGAGCAACTTACTCTGATGGATTTTGAAAACTTTTCAGCAATCGGAACCGACGAGCTTTTGAACAAAAAGTAAGCGTCAATGCACCCTTTTCTCTATTGTTGCTGTTGTTGTTGGTTGGTTGGTTCGAGCAAGGCAGTGAGCTGCTTGCATGCCCTCCCAAAAATTGACGTGGATTGTGTATCGTTTGCAGCTGGAGTAGCAAACCGCAGCAAGCACCGAATATCACTCGAATGATTGACTGGTTCAACACGGTCAGCAACTGGGTTGTTGAGAGCATTCTATTGACGGATTCGCATGATCAGCGTCTGTTGATCATGGAAGACTTTGTGCAAATCGCTGCTGTAAGTTTCTGTGTTTGCTTTTTGTCGGGGACAACTCAAAACTGCATTCATCCTGCGATGGTACGCTCACCTTTCCCGCACAGCATCTGAAATCCCTCAACAATTACAATGGTCTTCTCACAATTATGTCCGGCTTGGTGAACGCTGCCATCATTCGTCTCAAGCGCACCTGGGAGGTAAGCACTCATCTTTCTTGCAGAAGGGGCGGGAGCAGCACTTTTTTGTTTGGTTGTTTGCTTTTTTTGTTTGTTTGCTTGGAAACTCACATTGATACATCATCATTCCCTCCTGATTATTATTTTGCAACAACCAATAGCGCGTTGCAAAGCCAATTATGACCGTGTTCGAGGATCTGAAGCGCTTCATTGACTCTTCTGGAAACAGCAAAACCATGCGTGAGGCGCTGTCTGCCGTATCGCCACCCTGTGTGCCGTATCTCGGCATCTATCTGTCTGATTTGACATTTTTGGACGATGGCAATCCAACCTTTGTCAAGAATGAGGCTGGAGACAAGCTGATCAATGTCGCCAAGTTCTCGCACATTTCGAAAATTCTCCTCAACGTTCAGCACTTCCAGCAAAATGGGTATTCTCTCGCTCGGAACTCTGGAACAACGGATTTGTTGAAGAGCATCAACCCCACAATGTCTGTGGATCAGTGCTACAAGCAATCGCTCAAGATTGAACCTCGTGCTAGCACGACTCTCAAGCCGCAACAGCTCGCGGCCAGCTCGAACGAGCAACTCGACTCGGTTTCCGCTTCAGTCACGATTTCGGTTTCTACACCCTCCGAGGCTGCTGCTCGAGCGAACAGCTCGCCGATGCCCGCAGACCAAGCTCCTCCGGCTGTTCTCCGCCCTCGTCGCCGCTCAATGTCCGACTCGTCTGTCGCTGCTGTCGATATGGATGCCATCGTCGAGGTGGCTGCGTCCGTCGCAATCAGTGATCACCAAAAGTCGCGCAGCGTTCGTCCAGTGTCCATGCTGGTCTCGTCCTCTTCCTCGGCCAGTCTCATGGGAGGCGACTCCCAAGGCACCAGCGTCCCACCCAAGGGCGGCAGGATTAAGAAGGTGCTGACCTGGGGCCGCAGCCGTGGCAAATACAAGCTTGACGAAGCAATTTCCGAAGCAACTGAATCGCATCATCTGTCAGAATCAGAGGACGCCACGCGCAAAAATGCGCCCTCTTCACGAGATCGGCCCAGCGTTTCGGCGGTTTTTGCGGCCAACCCGGCGGCAAACGTCACGAGCGCTCTCAATGCGGATGCAATGAACACGACAGCCTCGTCCACCACCATCTCCCCGAACGCACTTGCAAGCCCGCCAGAGCTCGAGGAGCCCCCAATTTCCCCTGGTCGGCGTCACACTGAGCCTCCTGTCGAGGCCGTTGCACCGGCTGAAGCCGAATCCCGCAAGCGAACCATTTCGCGCCAGGATGGGTTGCGAGCGCATGTCCCGCGACGTCGTCGCACCGATGCAGCCGGTAAGAATTCGCCCTCGAATACAAGTTTCGAAAGCCAAGAGGACTTGTCCCAATCTGCGGAAGCTCCGGAGACGGTGACGAACGCATGGCTCGACGATATTCAGCTGGCCATCCAGCATTTGACGGCCAAAGTCCAAGGTCTCAAACAGCTCCGACGTTCTGACGTGCAATCTCAGGTGAGCGTCACATCGGAGAATTAGAGGGTGGACAAGTGTTTGTTGTAACGCGTATGACGACCTGAAAGAACTCACTGTTTGGGGTTTTTGTTTTGCTTGTCGTACTTTCACTTTTGCTCCTGTTGCTTTAGGATGCGTTGGAACGGGCTCAATTGGAACTGATGCATCTCAAGCTGCAACTCAAGACCCTTCAAGAGCCCAGCACGCGTGGTAAGACGCAACGATCGGCAGGCTCGAGGGGCGAGGATGTGGTATGATTTGCGCGCTAACATCTTTGATGCTTGTTCTGGTTTGATGGGATTTTTTTTGGTTTGCAATGATTTAGCCCACCTTCTCGATGCTCTTCGAAAGTACCGATCTCTGAACGATGTCAGCGCGCTCAGCGATCAGGTTGAGGCCATTCAGGAAACCGTGAGCATCATTCGAGCCGGTCTCGGCGCTCCTCTCGCTTTCTTGTCGTCTGCTGACGCCAAGGAGGAGCCCGTCGTCGTTTCTGAGGGTGCGAGCTCCGGCTTGATGGGCACGAAGGCGCTCACTCAGTCTGCGCCTATTGCACAAAGCACATTCTCTTCTGTCTTTGCCTCCTCGTTTGCTTCGTCCTTTACAAATGCTACCTCTGTGTCGCTACATAGTGGAGCCTTGAGGCGCACTACTCGCCGCGGCTCGTACTCTAGCGGTCAGGACGCGATTGCAATCGCCCTCCAGCAAAAATCCGGCAATCCTAGTCAATCACGGCGACCTTTGTCGACCATGGCTCTTGTGGAAGACGATCATGATCAACATGGCTCGAAAGACGAGAGTCTCGCATGATGGACTCGACATGTCCGACACATTTGCATTACACACATCCTGTTCCTGTTGCTTTTTTTCCCTTGATTCTCCCTCATTCATTACACACCGACTTTTGTTTTGTTTGTTTTTTGCTTTGGTTTTGGTTTTTGCTTTTCGTGTGCTGTTTGGCAACAGTACTACGCTTTTATTATTTCTGTTGCTCTCATACCGTCGTTGTTGAGTTTTGCAGAATGAATAAAAAACCAACAAAGAAACGATGGTGTTAATTTGCAGCTGCAAGACATGGAGACACACAGACACGCAATCAATGCTAAAAACAAAAACACAATGAAGACAGGTCCAAAAAAACACACGAGCAACTGACGACAGCAAGGCGGAACGCAGCCGACTTTGAGAATTACATGCGCGTTTCGGAAATGTCGTCGTCACGCAAAGCCACAAAGCGAGCCTCGTTGCTCTTGCGCGATGACTGCGAATGGTGGGAAGTGGTGTCATCCCCGCCTTGGTTGCTGCGATACATGGACAAGAACATGCTGGCAGCGCGAAGCTTGGCCCAGAATGCACCAGCGTTGCGAGGGGAGGCACCTTGAACGTTGACGGACTGGAGCTCAAACTCTGCAGGCGGGTTGGCACGCGTGCCAGCTGCACGCTCGTACGAAGGAGCCTGGTGGTGCTGCATGGCGAAGCGAACAATGATGCGCGCGTTGATGACTGCCGGATTGAAAATAAAAAATTCAAACCCGAAGAAGACAAGTCAGTATCTTGCGGAGGAGGGGGGGGGGCAAATTGGGCAAAACACATCGTAATGGTCACGTACCAACAGGGAAGGACAGCAGAGACAAGCCAATGCAGAAGCCCCACTCTTTGCCGTTAAGAGCCTCAGTGCGGACGAAATCGCCACCAACCTGGACGGCGACCGCCTGGACGGCAGCAATCAGGACAACAAGGAAGCAGAACAGCTTGTTGTTGAACATTCCACGGAACGGATTGAGCTCTGAGCATTGTGAGGGGGAAAAAAACAAAAGTGCGCGGGACAGTGAGGCCCAAGTCACGAAACAACACGCCCTCGGAAAAGGGAGAGAGCGGCAACTTCACCACAGCAAACAGTTCACGAGCATTCACATACCAAGAGTCAAGTGACGAGCCATGATCAAGTTGCAAACTTGAAGATAAACGAAGATGCAGAAGACCAGCGTGTAGATTTCAATCTCGGAATCCGAGTCGACGCCAACCGCACGATAGCCGGCAAACAAGACAATAATGAGAAGAATGCACTACGTCAAGAGCAACATCATCATCGTCAACAACAAAGAATCGAAGAGTGAGCGAAACAACCAAAAAATCAAAAGTTTCAAAATGATGCGATGCAACTGTGACAAACTTCTCCTTCCCCCCCCCTTGTTCCGCTTTGAATAAAAGTACGCACCTGCCAAATCGTTTGAATGAGAATGTAAGTAGCCATGCCCTTGGTAACCAAGCTTTCATCGCGAGTGTGCCTGTACACGAACAGGTACAAGGAGACAATCAACAAAGAAAAGAAAAAAAGGTGAGCAAAATGATAACAAGAACGTGACTCGCAACAACGGAAACACTCGGCCTTACGGAGGGCGTTCAAGAATCTTCTCCTCGGGCTCGTCGGTGGCAAGAGCAAGAGCACCAAAAGTATCCATGATGAGGTTGACCCAGAGCAGCTGGACAGCGGAGAGCGGGGATTCACCGTAGGCGACCGAACCAACAAAGGTGATGACGATGGCGACGAGGTTGACGGAAAGCTGGAACTGGAGGAACTTGCGGATGCAGTCAAAGACGTTGCGGCCCCAACGGATGGCCTTGACAATCGAGCTAAAGTTGTCGTCGAGCAAAACAATGTCGGAAGCGTTCATGGCAATGTGGGTACCAGACTGGCCCATGGCAAAGCCGACATCGGCCTCCTTGAGAGCGGGAGCATCGTTGGTACCGTCACCAGTGACGGCAACGACCTCGCCGAGAGCCTTGAGGCGCTTGACCAAATCGAACTTGTCCTGGGGGGATGAGCGAGCGAGAACCTGCAGCTTGGGGATGATTTCGTCACGGCGCTCCTGGGTGAGCGCGCGGAACTCGGGGCCTTCGATGGCAATGCCGTCAGCAGTGAGAATGCCGCACTCTTGGGCAATCTTCTTGGCCGTCAGAATGTTGTCACCAGTAACCATGCGAACAATCAGACCGGCACGCTGGCAGGCACGGACGGCGTCGGGGACTTCGGGGCGGACGGGATCCTTGATGCCGGTGAGGGCAATGAAAATCAGGTTGGACTCAATCTCCTCGGAGGCGGTGGGCAGGGTCTGCGAGTTGCGGAAGGCAAGAACGATCGTGCGCAGACCGTCGCTGGCCATGCGCTGGATGTTGCTGGTAATGTAGGCCTTGTGGTCGGGGGTGATGGGGATGGCGCCTTGGGGCGTAGCAATGTGCGAGCAGAGTTCGAGGACAATTTCGGAAGCGCCCTTGGTGTAGGCACGGTACGGGGCAGAGCCATCGCGGGGCTTGACAAGGGTGGTCATGCGCTTGCGGTCGGACGAGAAGGGGAAGGAGTTGTCGGGGAACTTTGTGGCGTTCTCGCGGACTTCCTCGTATTCGACGCCAAGCTTGCGGCCAAAGACGAGCAGGGCACCTTCGGTGGAGCTGCCGACAAAGACAGGCAAGGTCTCGCCCTCGTTGTACTTGACAAAGCAGGTCGAGTTCAGGGCAATGCCCTCGCAGAGCGGCTCGAGCAGGAAGGGCTGGATGGTCGAAGGGGAGAAGGAGGTGTGAACGCGCTGCTCGGCGCCAACGACCGTCTCGACAACGGACATGCGGTTTTCAGTCAGGGTGCCGGTCTTGTCCGAGCAGATGCAGGTAGCCTCACCCATGGTTTCGGAAGCAGAGAGATGGCGCACAAAGTTCTGGTCCTTGATCATCTTGACCATCGAGTAAGCGAGCGAGATTGTGACGGCGAGCGGAAGACCTTCGGGGACGGCGACGACCACGATGGTGATGGCAATGACGAAAAAGTCGAGGAGCGAACGCATGTGGTCCCACTCCCACTCCTTTTGGGCAACATCGACAATCCAGCGAATCGTCAGGCCGACGAACGTCAGGATACCAGCACCAAAACCAATGTAACCGATAATGTTGGCAAACTTCTCGAGCTTCTCCTGCAGCGGGGTGGCCGTCTTGGACTGCTCGTTCAGCATGGCCTGGATGCGACCACCCGTCGACAGCTCGCCGATAGTGGTGACAAGCATGGCACCATCGCCAGCCTTGACTTCCGTGCCCGAGAAAATGAAGGGACGAGTGGGCGACTTTTTGACAGGGACGGTCTCACCAGTGAGCGGCGACTCGTCGACGGAAAGGTCTTTGGTTGAGGGAGACGGGGGGCAGAAAGTGACAATTGGGTGGTTTTTTGTGAGAAATCACAGCTCGAAACGACAGGAATGCAACCAAAAAAAAAAATCAAGAAAAAATCAAGTGCTTACTGGTGCCACGGATAAAGATACCATCAGCGGGGATTTCCTCGCCGACAGAGAGCAGAACGACATCACCGACTTGAATGTCCCAGCTGGAAACCTGGTCTTCCTTGCCGTCACGAAGAACGGTGACGTGCTTGTCGGACTGGAGCATGAGGATTTGCTTGAACTTGCGCTCCTTAAAGTAGTCATTGCCGGCCGTGATGGAGACGACGAGAATGACGGCCACGAGAATGGCGACACCTTCCGTCCAACCGCTCGTGGGGTGCTGGGCCAGACCCACAGCAAGCGTGACAATGGCACCAACAATGAGAATCTGCAGAATGCGATCGTGCAGCGCGTCCCAGATGAGCTCGAGCAGCGTTTCGGACTTTGGCGGCGGAACGATATTTCGGCCGAAACTGCACGAGAAAGAGGACACAGGTTTTGCATGTGAGCAGCGTGTCACAATCAACCGCACAACAAGAACAAGACAAGACAACAGAGGGAGGCCCGTACTGTGCCGTGCGATCTTCAAAACCGTCGTGAGCGTTCAAACCGGAATCGAGGTTGACACGGAGCTTGTCGGCAATGCCCTCGACAGCGCCATAGGACTCGAGGACTTGGACCTGATGATGAATTGGAGAACGGAGAATGAAACGCGGGATGACATGGTGAGTACAGTGTTTGAATGAAACGTTGAGCGTGAGGATGGTGGGTTGGCGCTCTTTGTTCATTTTCTTGGTTTTTTTTGTTTCCGGTTTTTTAATTCCTGTTTTTTCCCCCCTCTTCCCCTCATTTCTAGGTGATAATAAAACATGTTTTGTGACGTCACGCCATCACGAGGTGGATCTAGGAGCCCGGTTTTTTTCCCAGTCCGGTTGATTTGGGGTTGATTTGCGGTGGGTAACTTGTGTCACCCGCACAGTTGCGCCACATAAAAACTGGTCTCGCCTTCCTCGCGTTGGGGGAGGGGGGTGAATACAAAAAAGAAGAACGAGAAAATGTGACAGAAGAAGTGCCGATAGCACAATCCACCGAGCATTGAGCCTTTTGGGAGGAAGGAAGGCGCAAGGAAGCCGAGAGGAAGGAGGACGGTGGGCGGGCTGAACATTGCCATTTTGAGGCAAATTAGCTTTTTTTTTTTCCTGGCTTTTTTTTTTCAACCCCCTCATCGGCATCGTCGCCCCCCCCCCCGTCGCCCGTCGCCCGTCGCTCTGCATCAGCTTCAGTCTCAGTCTTAGAATGTTCCAATCTCTCATCTCCAACCTCAGATTGCAATTCAACACAACGAGAAGAAAAAAAGAAAGAACAAGAACAAGGGGAAAAAAAAAAAACCGGAAAACTGGAAAAACCGGTTCAAGAAAAAAAAAACCGCGTGACGAGAGACGTCAAAAAAAAAAAAAAAAAAAAAAAGGAAACTGTTGCAGCCACACTCCTGCACGCACGGCACACAGCCCCACGATGCAGCGACCGCCGATGCACGCACACACCGCCCGAAGGCGATTGAAATCAACGAAAAAAGGTGCTCAGGACAATCCAACCAGGAAGCGCAGGACGCAATCCAAGGCTGCGCTAGTGAGTGTGGAAAAAGTGGCTGAACCCGTCAAAAAAAAAAAAAAAAAACCTCCTTCCTCGTTTCCGTCTCACTGTCTGCCGCTGATCTTGATCACTGCACTCGCACTCGCACTCGTACTCTGCTCTTGCCTCTCTCTCTCTCTCTCTCTCTCTCTCTCTCTCTCTCTCTCTCTCTGATCCACGCAATTCGATTCGCAAGTCGCCACGATCGCCCCGCTTTTGAGATTGACACTATGAGTTTCTGCAGCGCGCCCATTGGCCAACTGCGCTTCACCAATCTGTGAGCGCCTTCTCCCAGGTTTTTTTTTGTCCACTCAACCCAGAAGAATCACAAGCTGCTCGAGCTCTTCAAAAAAAAAACACCAGCCACGCATTGTCGCAGCGGGCGATTTTGTGGAGCAAGCGCATCGTCATTGCGACAACTGTGTGTCACTACTGAACGACGAACGAGGAAAATAGCAATGCGCGTCATTCAATTGCTTCGTCTCAGTTCTCAGTCCGAACTGCGCGTCTCCCGCTCCAATCTCACGCCTGTGGATGTGTGCTGGCTCGCCGCTGATTTTTGATTCTCACTCCGCAGCAAACACCAACGCGAATGAAAGCGACTTGAAAAAAGAAAAAAAGCAAGAATTAAAAAAATCAAGTTTTCATGTTTTTCGACTTTTTTTTTTTTTTTTTTTTTTTTGGTTCGATTGTTCAGTGCGCTTGTGCGTTGGTCTGCCAGCACTGCAGCTGCTGTGCTTCAGTGTGCATGTGTGCAATGTGTGTGTGTGTTTGAGCAAGTGTGTGCGCTGGTGGTGTGACGAGCGCCACGCAGATGGAACTGAAGCACAAGCGCGTCACACTGGCTTTTTCCTCTTTTTTTGCCTCTCAGTCGCTCTCTCGCTCTCTCCCGCCCTCTCTCCCAACGGCGCGCCTCTGACGACAAGGGACCAAAAAAAAAACACCACTACGACTCACCTGGCTCTCCTTGTCGCGGTTGTCGAACGAGACAATCTCAACGAGCTCCTCCTTGCTGAGCGAGAAGGGACCGCTGGACGCCACCGACTCGACAAAGTTCTGGGTGCGGCGGGGCGCCGGGGCAGCAGCCGGGGCCGACGAGCCGCCGCCAGTGGTCGACGACGGCACAGAGAGCGACGCGGGATGGTCGGCGTCCTCGACGAGCGGGGAGAAGCCCGACGAGCGGTTGTTGATCGCGCCGCGGTAGCTCGGGCCGCCGAACGTGCCAGTGTTCCGGTTGCTGCGGTTGCTGCGGTTGGAGAGCATGTTGGGCAGCACGTTCGACCGATTGGAGCGGTACGACTCCATCTTGCCGAGCGACTCGGCAATGTTGATCGCGGGTGCCTGCATGGTTGCGAAAGAGGAAGGGAGATGAAAGATGAGGAAAAGAGAGGAAAAGGAAAGGAAGGAAAGAAGAAAAAAAAAAAAGAGTGAACTCAGATTGGCTCAAATTTTCCTATAATTGAACAGAAACGACCGACGGGATGATGATGGAGTTGCGTGAGAGGGATGCAACAGATCATCGAGAAACAACATGCCTTTGTGGGGCAGAAGACTCGGGATTCGGGAGTGCAGAGGGGCGAGGGTAGAAGGAAGGAACTGAGGAGGAACGATTTGCTTCAAAATTAGTGGAGCAAATTTGCAGCTCAAAGCACGTTGTGGGCAAAAGCGCAGGCACCCCCGCCGCCCATGCTGGGGCTGGACGGAAGATCCAGCGGCTGGCCACGCTACCTGGTGTGTCTGGAGCACAGGCGAGCGAGACGGAGCGCGGCGCAGTCGGGTGGAAACGCAGACAACGGATCGTTCGGATTAAACGTGGTTGAATCACGCGTGGTGGACGCTTCAAATAATCGGCCGCAAATTTTTTCCATGACGAGCAAAAGATCGCAAGGTGTTTCCCCCGAAGTTGAAGAGAGAAAAATTCGGGTTGGAGGGGGCGTGACGGGTTGTGGGCAGAGCAGAGCAGCATAACCCAGCAAAGACCATGAAAAAAAAAAAAAAATCGAAAAAAAAAAAAACGAAAAAAAAAACCAAAAAAGAGGCAAAAAGAGAAATCCGACCTTCCGGATTCGAACCAGAGGCCGTCTGATATTTGCTTTCATCTACAGTCAGACGCTCTACCAACTGAGCTAAGGTCGGATTGCTTGTTGAGATCATGACTGGGCAAATCGCAGTCCAACGCCAAGTCGAGTATTGGGATTTTTCAGAGCGTCGATGCATGGCTTGCTTGCGTTCCCTCTCTGCATGGGAGGGATGTCGATACGATAGAATCAAGCCCTAGCTTTGTCTCGTTTCCGCCTTCCATGATTAGCGTGCCCTCAGTTCCAGTCATTTGCAATTGATCAACGTCAAAATCCAGCAATCAACTGACTTCCACGCTCTCCCTCGCTCCAGTTCGCTCCAATCCACTGTGGGGGCTTGCCCTATTTCTGTGCTATACAAAATCAGCTGAGTTTCAATCGCCTTGTTCGTTTTCTGAGTCGCCTCGCCTCAGTCCTCTCTCTCTCTCTCTCTCTCTCTCTCTCGCCTTCAGCCACTCTTCCTGTCCATTCCACTGCAAGCTCGCCTTCCCCTTCCCTGCTGTGAGCCCGTTTACGTTTCTTCACTTGGAGCACAAAGCCACTTCAACCAGCCCGCCAGTACTTGACCTGCCACAACTCACCACTCACCACTCACTTGTGATGGCCCAGCCGAGACAGCCGAGCTCGATCGCACCCGAACGGCTCTCGTCGACAGAGTCGAGCACGTTCACGTCGTCGGCCTCGTCGCCAGCGCCAATGCAGCACGACACGACGACGACGAGCGCTGCGCTGGCTTCGGCCGCACGACGGACTGGATCGACGCCATCCCCTCTCCATCGCTCATCAGAGCCAGGTCCAAGACAGCCACATCAGCTGCAGCCACAGCAGCAGCAGCCAGCAGGCGCAGGGCTGCGATCGCCAGCAGCAGCGCGACCGCCGCTCTCAGCTGCCCAGCGTGCACCGCAGGCAAGACGGAAAGCCACTGGCGACTCGTCCTCGTCTTCTGATGATGACGATGCTCATCGGTACAATTATCAAGCTGGCAATGACGATGCTGCTGCTGCTGCTGCTGCTGCTGCTGCTGGAGCGCCGGTGATGTCGTCTACTGCGGCGGCGTTTGCAGCGGCTGTTGCTGCAGCCACTGGCGACGCAAGTACAGGGACATATGTTAACACTGGTGCTGAGCGATGGCGACAGCAACGTGCAGAATGGCTCAAAACCCCAGTCTCTGCGGCGCGACTGCAAGAGCTGCGTCTTTCCAACGCCGATCTCGACGACTTGTGGGATGATTTGCCTGGCTTCGTCGTGCAAGGCACCCTCCGCAAGCCGGTTCTTCTTGATGAGCTTGTCGATGTATTGAGCGAGTTGTGGGAAGAGGCTGGATTAATGTGACACTGTTCAGTGGATCTGAATGAAAAGGCTGTGTTTTGTTTTTGTTTTTTTGCCCGATGCGATCCATTTTCTTTTGACATTCAGCGCTAGTTGATTCTAGGGGGTTTTCTGGTTGAAACTGGTACGCGTGCATTGGTGCTCGAGTCATGCGTTGAAACTGCGGGGGCGCGGACAGAAGCAACAGAACCAACTCTTTTAAGTGGAGAATAAGAACAGCCAGCCACTGTCCCTCATTTGCAATCACTTTGGAATCAGCCATGTAAATGCCAGGCTGAGCACCTTCTTCTGGAGCCAACTCCAAGCCACCATCGCTTCAGCTTGAATGTGAAACTCGCCTGATTGACCGTTCACCTTCTTCTTTCTCTTATTAATGCAACCATGTTGTCTTTTCCCCCTTCTTTTTGTGATTCTGAGGTGTTTTCTTTGCTTCAACGTTCAACAATCCTTTCAATGTTTTTCTTTTTTCTTTTTCTTTTGGTTTTTCCACTCTTTTTGTATTGTTTTTTTTTTTTTTTGTCTGCCGTTTCAGTATGACCAGCCATCCTCATCCCTCTCATCCCTGCTCATCCCCCTCTCTCATCCCCCTCTCTCATCTCATCCTCATACTCTTCCCTCCTCTTCTCCCTGCTCATCCAAACGCCCCTTCTTTGCCTTGTCATCCCTCCTTTCCCTCTCTTGACCTTCTTGTTGAATGCCGTTCTATCTGCCCCTGCTTCCCCTTCCCCCTCTTCCCGACCCCCTAACCCCCTACCCCCTGGTCTCATGCTCTCTCGACTTTGGTATCTTCTTTGGCTCTTGTTGGTGCTGTGCGCGCGACCCCATCGTTCTTTCGCTCCTCCTTTTGGCTCACAAGACGTCTTTCATCCCTTCTCTCTCTCTCTCTCTCTTCGTCTCTCTCTCCCCCCCCCCTCGTCCTCTGAAGAAGCGTCACTCATCAATATGCTCCAATCTCAATCATCATTACAGTTGCATCTTTGCCAGTCTCACTGAAAAAATCTCGCCTTGTCGCAGGGTCGCCAATTTTGCTGCAATTCCCATACATTCAGCTCGCTCCAAGCTCAGCTCAAGGCCCTCAGATCGCATAGAAACACAGCCTGAGACGACCCGCTACTTTTTACAATCACCAAGACTTGCTTCGTTCCCTTGGCTGCAACTCCCTTTTTGTGTTGCTCGACTTGGACCAACAACACCACCGTTCGGATACCTCAAGCAAGAGAAAAGCTCATCCAACTCACCAAAACCCAGTCGGTCTCACACAAACATGCTGACGGAAGTGCTCGACGCGATTCGCTCGTACAACAATAACAAGGCGGTCGAGAGGGCGCACGGAGGGCCGCGGCGACACCAGAACACATCCGCGACCTCAACAGACTTTGTCGTGGTGGGCGACTCGGACAAGTCGGACGTGGAGCATGCGCTCGAGCGGAACGAGTTTTGGTTTCCCCTCTTCCAGTCGTACTTTCTTGAATGCAAGGATACCTCGCGCGACGATCTGCTCTTCTACGTGCACCAAGACCCGCCACTGCCCCCACTAGCACCCGCGCTTGCCGCGATGAATGCTGCAACAGCTGCTGCAGCTGCCACCGCCACATCCTCCTCCTCCTCTGCAAAGCCCGCCAATCCCTCCAGCGAAACCCCGTCCTCCTCAACCTCTTCATCCAACCAGCAGCTGCCCCAAGCCATCACGCCTGCAGCAGTGTCTGCCGCCATCCTTAACAAGACGCATTCGCGTCAGCCCTCCACCTCTGGCGCGTCTCAGTCGGCGTCTCGGAGCGGGGCCTCGACTCCTGGCTCGCCCGTGCCGCCAATGGTGCCTGACGAGCCCTTCTTTGTTCGTCGCAGCAACCACCAGCAACCGGCTCCATTCGACCGCGCCATCAACTGGGAGGAGACTTTCTACCTCAATCTGATTCTCAACCAGTTCGAGTACTCGCTGACCGTCGCCATCTGCCGCACCGTGAAGGAGCCCATCCCGATTGTTGCCGGAGCCCCTGCAGCGGTGCCTGGACAGCCGCCGCGAACCCGCGACCGCCTCGTCATCCACAAGAAGGTGACCCAGCGCGTCTACCCTTCCCCGAGCAAACGCAACATGGATTCGGGCAAGGCCGAGGAGACCGAGCTGACGTACCCGCACATTTTCTTTACTGTCGATAACTTTGATGAGATTTTCAGCGAGGTGTACATTGTTGAGGACGAATGCTTGTGTCTCGAGATGGTTGCCTGGCCCCATGGCAGTCCCGAGCAGAAGAGCACCGTCTTCCAGGGCTCTGTCGTGTACGCCGCGCTGCTGAACGCCTACCAAGCCAAGGTCAAGAAGAGCACTCCGCTCTATCTCTCCCTGCTCGCGCGCAGCCGTGGAGATGTGGAATTCCTCATGCTGCGCGGACCTGGCGGCAAAGGCGAAGCCCAAGTGGCAATGAGCAGGCTCTTGCCTCATGGATCCGGATCCAGCCTTCCAGTCGCATCGCAGCAGCAACAACAACAGGCTTCATCAGATGCAGGCCAACCAGCAACGGCAAAAGCTGCCGCTGCCGCGCTCTCGTCGCCTTCCACCACGACTTCTTCGTCATCTTCGTCGTCGTCAGCCTCTTCAGAAGTCAAGCGCATCGCTTCCTGGTCGTTTGGCATGTTTGATTCGGCTGTCAAGAAGGTGCAAGCGTATGCAGCCACCAAGAAGCAACAGGTCTCTGGCCCTCAGAAGGGGGACAGTCCCGCGCTGAACGCCTTCCTGACGTTTATCAGTCTTCCCTGGGACTTGATTGTCAAGGATGTTGTTACGCATCAAACGCGACCTGTGCTGGAGACGCTTCCTGAGACTAAGGAAACGTGATGATGGTGGTGATGTGAAAATTTTGTGCTTGAAGCGTGATTTGTTCGGGAAGGGCACGCGAGGCGATGACATGTCCTTCGTCGTTGGTGCTGTTCGAGCTGTGACTTGGTGCTCGTGGTCAAATTCGGCTTGTGTGATTGTGAATTGTTTGATACGTGTTGAATAACAAAAAAAAACTGCGAACAGACCAAAATCGCAATGACCGAATCGATCTGGGGTATAATTGTCTTTAATGCAAAGCTTGTTGACGAGCAACATATAGTAAATCTATTCTTTATCGTGGTATGCCAGGCGTGAAGAACGGACGGCGTTGAGGTGTTTTGTCCGCAGCTGGATTTTTCTGTAAAGTGCAATAGCATTCTGAAGCGTCATTGCTTGGCGAATGAGCGCAATATCTCATGTGCTTTGTCAGGACCCGAGTTTGCGTCCGTCCAGCCGGCGAGGTTAGCCGGTGGTAGTTAATGAGGATTTAGCATATTCTGGTGTATTTGGATGCTTTTGGATAGCTGTCATTGCGCATTTTGTATCAATCAATCGACGTTACCTGGCCAATAGCTCTAAGCCCCAACCCGTGGGAATCGGAGTCTCACATAATGCGCAATCAATGAGGGCCACCTGACGTCGGTTGGATGTGATCGGTGATGGTGAGGTGGACTCTGGCACTCGGCCGCTGAAGCTGTGGCGGTCGAAGGAAGTGCAGGTCCACGCGGTCTCGTGCTGCTTGGTCCGAGCCGTGTTCCAAGTAGCAGGCCTCGCGCGCGCCGCCAGCCGCGAGATGAACAAGTGTAGTCAAGTCGCCCAAGAGCGTAGACGCGTGAAGACGTCGACGCGCCTCGGGTGGAGGCGATCGTCAAGTTGCAAGATTGGAAGAAGCCATGTGGGTTTTCCACCAACGCGGTCGGTCATGGAAGGACAAGTCGTTCGAAGGAATTGCCATGCCTGGTTGGTCTCCATAACACTGGGACAAGAAGGTCCAACGGAAAGGTGCTGGAGAGCCAGAGCTGGGATTGAAGAAGGCTGTGAACATGGATACGTGCGTTTGGCTGTTGAGACGCAAGGTGCTCTTCGCATGAACAAGTTAGGCGGTCTCTACCTCTTGGGTCAAGGAACAAGCTTGTTGGTTCATATTATTTGTGTGTGTTTTGTCAGGCTGGTGTAACGATGGGGAAGTTGTAGGAAGTGTGTTTTGTTTCTGTGCGGTGTAGCCGCAATACCGTATCCAGCACAGCGGAGGTCTGTCGGAGATGGAGTAGAGTGTCAGGACCCGAGTTTGCGTCCGTCCAGCCGGCGAGGTTAGCCGGTGGTAGTTAATGAGGATTTAGCATATTCTGGTGTATTTGGATGCTTTTGGATAGCTGTCATTGCGCATTTTGTATCAATCAATCGACGTTACCTGGCCAATAGCTCTAAGCCCCAACCCGTGGGAATCGGAGTCTCACATGCTTGTCGTTGCGAAGCTTTGGATCCCATGGGCAGGGTGTTTAGAGCACTTGGCCAGGCAACGATTGTCAATTGCTCGACTCGCGAGACATGATATCCCTTAACAAGTCACTCGATACTTTCTTGAATATTTCCCGTTTCATTCACAACCACCGGACGGACTCGACTCAAAGTCACAACAAAAAGAAAGCTTTAACGTACATACCCTCAAAGAATCAACCAAATCAGACAAGGCATTCTCACAATACGCGCGGCCGAAACCTCGCGTTTCTTCGAACAGCGCAATTCATGGTCACTGGCCATCTATAGCGTTCCGCCGAGTTTTCGAAGCATTACTAATCATATTTACAAGATGTTTAATACGGTTACTCGGTCAAAAGAGAGGCAACGGGGAGATGTGAGTGTTTGACGCAACCCATTTGGCAAATGCCCAAATTTTGTCGATTCTTCCATCTGCGTCCCCCGGCACTCGCACAGACAATAGAATATCCGGTGCAACGATGTTGTTGTTCTGATATCAAAAGAGATAGCCAACAGCAATGGAGAACGCTGCAGCGGAAAAAAAACAAAATGGAAAAAAAAATGGACTGCGGGGGAATCGAACCCCCTGCCTCGTCCTTGCGAAGGACGCGCTCTACCAAATGAGCTAGCAGCCCCAAATTGTAGCCAATTCAACTGGGCCAAAGCAATAGGAACCAGAACCAGTGCCGCTGCCTTGAATGTGCGGTGCGTTTCCGCAGCGCATCCACCATCATGAATTTCAACAAAAACGCAACTGCTTTTTATGCGTTACCACGCGTTGTTCCGTCTCCATTCTTTCAACCGCTTGACTTCCGCTTTCGATTCTTTTGGCTCTGGTTTCACCATTTCCAGTGCCATTCAACTCTGATACAGTACTTCTGTTGAATCCTCCTCTCCTCTCTTTTGACTTTAACTCTGACCTAAACTCTGACTTTGACTTCGTTTCAGTCCTTTTGCTCGTTTTCCATTGTGTTTCAATTTTCAATCTCACAAAACAGTTCAAACACGCACATGTCGTCGCTTCGCCTCAACCGCGCCACAGCCGGGTCGTCGTCCGGCCTCGCCCCACCCGCAGCGTCATCCTCGTCCTCATCCTCATCCGCGTCATCGTCCTCCTCGGCGGCTGCGGCTGCGGCTGCTGGTGGCGCGTCCGACGTGGCTGGCGGCGCATCAGCCATCGCGTCCTCGTCCTCCTTGTCCTCTGCCTCCTCTGCGTCCACGCTGCCCACGGCGGCTGCCTCGGCTGGGATGACACTCCCGCAGGTCGTCCTCCCGTCCATGTCCTCCACGGCCGCACTCGTTGCTGCAGGCGCGGCGGCAGAGAGTAGCGTCGCGGCCGCCAATGCGTCCTTCTACCTCGCCTTCCAGCACACAGCCGCGCGCGTCACCGACATGATGAGCGGTAAGCGAACAAGAACAAACACCAAAACTCACATTTCATCGTCAGTGTTCAAGTTCGCCGTCATTCCACAAAAGCCTCGAGTTTCAATGCCTCAAAGTGAACCTTCCGTTCGTTGCTCCCACATGTGGAAATCAACACCTCCAAAAGCAAACCACAAAGCAAAGCGAGGTCAAATGCGAAAGAGCTCAAAATCAAGGGAACAGTCTCAGAGAGAATTCATCCATGACCTTCACATGGGTCTTTGTGACGATTTCGCAACAAACGCAACGCCGCGAAAACGGTCTCATTGCACATATTCTCACCCTGTTGTCTTTGTCTGTTTGTGTGACGACAACAGAGGCCAAGCACTTGCAACGCGTTATTGCAGTCCAGTCCGCTGTTACAGCTTACACGGATGTGCTCGAGTGGGCGCAACGGAATAGCCGCTTGTTCACAGTCCATGGACTCGATGCACTGACTCGGTTTTTGGACGCGCGCGCCAAGGAAGTCACCATTGACTCTGACGGACTGGGCGCTGCAGTAGAAGCGAATCAACAGGCGCACCATCACCACCACGAACAAGAGCAGCAACACGAACACCATCTACACCAACAGCACGAGCACCATCTACAACAGCAGCACCTACGCCATGAACACGAACAGCACCACGACCAGCAGGCACAGCAACACGCACAAATGGGCTATGCCAACTTGCAACCACATCTCGGCAATCCCAACATAATGGAAATGAACCACCACCACAATGCAATGCTCGTCGGCGACGACAATCAACACCAGCAAGGACACCATCTCGCACAGCAAGAATATATTCAAGACATTCCTTCGAACGGCGTTCTCAGCACGGCTTACCAATTGGCGCAGCACGATTTGAATGCACATCATTCCAGCGATTTGAGCGCAATGGCAATCACACACAGCACCCCGCGTGCCAATCACGACGGTATCAAGCGCGGGTTTCTATTGATGGACGAAACCAACGCGCAAAAGGATGGCTCAATGTGGATGATGAACAAGCGTGAGTGTACAACCGAATCGACTTCGTTGTAATTGTAACTCGCCTCTTTGTTATCTTTTTCGTTCCTGTGTTATGTTGTTGAAACTATATATTTTTAAGTGTTTTGATGACCAGAGTTGCTTGAAGCATCACTTGTACTTGTATTCAGACATTCAAACAAAACACGAACGAACGCACAAAATGCAACATTGTCACATACAAAAAACAAAAACAAACCACGACTGCCGCGCAGGCTCGGCGTGTCAGCCTGCTCCAGGTTGAGTGTCACGGTCCCGCCAGCAAGACGTAGGATTGTGGCCAGGAATTTGATCAAGGGTCGTGGGGGTTGAAGGGTGCAAATTGCTTTTCATGGCTAAAACAGAACAAACTGAAAAGCGGCGCTCTCCGCAGTCGCTCAGCCGAATTTGCCAAACCCCTCCTTTGACTCTGGTGTGTTTTCCGCTTCCATCCAATGTTTTTGTGTGACATGTTCATTCTTGTTTTTTCTTGTTCACTTTTGCTCTTCCAAGTTCAGGTTGATCAACTGTTGTTGTTGTTGTTGTTGTTGTTGTTGTTGTTGTTGTTGTTGTTGTTGTTGTTGTTGTTGTTGTTGTTGTTGTTGCTGAATGTTGTTTTGCTGTGTTTCCTACTCAGCAGCAGTTGCTTTGCTTCTGGTCTTTGTGCGACCGTCATGTCCGCCATCAACACCCAAACACACATAATCTCATCCACCAGTCTATCGTGGCAGCGCGCCATGTCTCGTTGATGTCGGTGGTTGTGTCGGAGTCTTTTGTGGGTTGAGTTTGGGTGAAACCGCGTGCTCGGTCCGCGCTATCGCCGAGGCCCAGGCACCAGTGTTGCCGATCGACCAACACGAGCTTGACTCAGCTCGACTCAGTTCGTGTTGACGTCGGCGATGTCGTGTGGGTGTGAGCAGATGAGGAAGTTTGAGTGATCGCCTTCAAAGTGATTAGAAAAGCAAAGCTCGCTCACGATGATCATTCGTCTGTCGTCGAGTCTCATGACAAGGGCGATGAATGAAGCGTAACAAAGTCACCCTGAGAGTGGACTGCACCGTCGTGGACTGCAATGAGAGGAGGGGAGGGGAGAGGGAGTGGAACTTGGAATCGCCCCAGCAGCCACATCTTTGACTGACTATTTGGCCTTTGTAGATGGGTGCTTCATATTCATCACGGCAGCGTGAGCTATTTGAAATAGCCAAGTCTTCCAGTTGTGTCATGTAAGTATCGTCTCAGGCCGAGGCGTGGTCGTTGCTGCGCACAGACTTAGTGTATTTCGCGGCATCTCCCATAGCCTCAGCAGCTCGGGGATTACCGATGAAGATTCCTTGGTCGTTGCCGAGGGTCTCAAGGAGAACAACAATCTGCAGGTGCTTACGTAAGGCAGGAGGAGCAAGGAAATGAGTTGCTCAAGAAGATCTGACGTGTATGGTATCAAAAAGTCTGTATGACAACCAGATTGGCGATGCAGGAGCACAGGCGATCGGATCTGCGCTTCGAAACAAGGCGAATCTGTCAATTCTTTAGTACGTTCTGGTGGTGTCACCGGGGCTATTGGGCGCGTGACACTAACTTGAGCGATCTGACATAGTTTGAGCCAAAACAAGATCGGTGACGCTGGAGCTCGTGCCATCGCTGAAGGCCTACAGACGTCGACTGCACTGACTGACTTGAGGTATTGGTCGCTCGTTTGAGCTTTTGTCGCAGCTCGGTCTTTGCTCAGTAATGGTCGCTACTGATGTTTATCTGACATAGGATGTCAGTCAATCAAATTGGCGACGCAGGAGCACGGGCGATCGGATCTGCGCTTCGAACCAAGGAGGACTTGTCAATCCTCAAGTACGTTCGGGCGCTGTCACATGGGCTGTTGGTCACGAGGCTCTGACTTGATCGAATTGATGCAGCTTGAGCGAGAACAAGATTAGTGACATTGGAGCTTGTGCCATCGCTAAAGGCCTGCAGACGTCGTCTGAGCTCACTGAGCTCTGGTATTGTCGTCGCACGTTTGAGTTTTTGTCGGATCTCGGTCTTTGCTCAACGATGAAACGTTTCTGATGTTTGGCTGCATAGGCTGTTCAAGAATCAGATTGGCGATGCGGGAGCACAGGCGATTGGATCTGCACTTCGAAACATGGCGAATCTGTCTATTCTCTAGTACGTTCTGTTGCGGTACAGGGGGGGTGATAGGTGTGCGGGTCTTCCATGAACAACTTGATGCAGCAACATGAGCCATCGAATACCGAGCGTCGTGTTCGCTTGCAACAGTTTGTGGGACAACCGGATCTCTTCAAGTGTCGTTAAGGTTTTATCCAACAATCTTCCGGCAAAATGCGAGTTCTGGTGAGTGCCCTTGTCTTGCGGGTGTTTGTGACCTTTACTGTCTTTCTGACTGATTCAATTCCAGGGCCGAAAATCAGCGCGTCCGCGTTCAACGTGCAAGCATTCTCGCGAGTTCATCTCGTGTCGCACCCACACCAGCTCCTCGATCCAATACTGCCAGCGCGCCTCTCGCTGCGTCTGATCCGACGTCTGAGCAAGTTCGTCAACTCCAGGCGCGTATTGCTCAACTGGAATCCAATACCATTCCGCGAGTGTCGTTGCAAGTTCTGTCGCAAGCAACAGCGCAGTTTTCAGAGTCCAAGCGCATCGGTGGCGGTGGATTTGGCAAAGTCTACTCTGGTGTGTGGAGCGGTCAGCGAGTTGCCGTCAAACGGTTGGCAGCGGATTCAATTCAAGGTGCCCCTCAGTTCGAGGCCGAGCTCAAAGCTCTGTCACGTTTCCGTCACCCGAACATTGTCACCATTATGTGTTTTGCGCAGGAAGGCAAGGAGCGCTGCTTGGTCTACGAACTGATGGCAAACGGTTCGATTCGCGATCGTCTTGATCGCAAGGATGGGACGCCTGCATTGCTATGCACTTTGTCCAGACTGCGATTCCGCGTCAGCCGCTGTTCCACCTGGATCTCAAGACAGACAATGTACTGCTGGACGCTCATTTCAACGCAAAGGTCGCCGATTTCGGTCTGACTCGCTCCATACCAGCTCAAGTGGATGCTCACAGCTACATCAAAACGAAAACAATTGCAGGAACATACCAGTACATCTGCCCACAGTACCACCAGGACGGCAAGGTTTCCATCAAGACAGACGTGTACTCGTATGGCATGATTCTGCTTGAGCTGCTGACTGGACAGCCACCCAGCCTCGACCTGATCGCCAATGTTCGACGCGAGCTGAAACGGAGCCGTAAAATCGATGCAGTGCTTGACAAGGCAATTGATTGGAGCCCTCAAGACAAAGAATCGGCGCATGCCATGGCAGAGCTTGCGGAGGATTGCCTCCAACTCGCACGAGTTGATCGACCGTCGTTCCGCGACATTCTGACACAGCTAAGCCAATTTGTCGATCAGGGCAGCGCGCATGCTCATGCTACAATGCCTCAGGAACCCAGGATGGAGCATCACCATAGTAGCATCGAAGAGCAGTTGCAACCTCATCTGGATTCGGATCTCGTTCGTTCTCGAATGGAGCAGCAGCAGCAGCACGCACAATCTGCAGAGGTCAGCGCTGAATCAATCTCACGACTGAGTCATCCTCACAGCGCCATCAAGGAGCAACTATCTCCTATGACAAATTCGATTGTCGTGAACGCCAGCATGCAGTCGCAGCTAGACTCCGAAAACTGATCGGAAGTGAGTGCTTGGTCTGTTTCAACACCCCGACGAATGCCTTCTTTGTCACCACACATGTGTCTGCGTTGCATGTGCTCAACGGATGATTAAGCGTCAACACAAGTGCATGATTTGTCATGTTATTCCGACTGTGTTTCAAGAAGGGACGTTCGTTAAGACTTTTGTTCCGTGAGCTTTTTCTATTGTTTTGTTCTTGTTCATGTTCTCGTAACACATTCATACATTCTACAGCTTGTTCACACCGGCCTGACGCATATGCACCAACAATGAGTTCAGCTGCCGCATCCATTGACTGCGCGACTCGGGAAGCGTCAACGGCTGACGTCAATTCTCGCTGATCCACTGGACGACGATGCAGGCGTATGTCAAAGTGTGTAATCTTGGTCTGTGCCAGTCATCGACCGCAGTCAGTCAGTTGCTGTGCGAGCGAGCGAGACCGAAGATCCAAGCACCAAATTGGGAACCAAAACAGATTCCAAATCGCTTTCACTCGCGCCTCCTCTGCAACCCCACAACAGCAACCCACATATCCACACACAGACAGATGCATGCACCGGCTCATTGCAGGACGTGGGGGGGGGGAAACTCTGTGTCAACGTGGTTGGATTTCATTCAAGTTTCGTTTTTGCGCAATATTCCAGATTTGGGATTGACGTCATTGCTCAATCTCTGCGCTTTAAAAAGCCAAACCCGCGCAAATCCAGTCGTCACTCACTCTTCTTTTTTCTTGTTTCTTGCTTCCACTGCACTCCATCCACAAACCCACTGCTGTCGTAAGTGAACAACACAGGATGAGCAGCAACCCGATTGTGAGAGAGAGATTGTAAACTCAACTTCAAATTGTTGAACGTCTGGTTGTTCGTTCGTCACAGATTTTTGCTCAGTGAGACCGCCACTCGTCCACCACACAGTCGCCGTCCACCCCAGCACTTGAACTCGAAATCTCAAAGCTCAAGTTCCACCCACCCACCATCATGCCACCCAAGTTCGACGTCAGCCAAATCCGCTCCATCATGGATCGCAAGGCGAACATACGCAACATGTCGGTGATTGCCCATGTCGACCACGGCAAGTCGTCTCTGACCGACTCGCTCGTCTCCAAGGCCGGCATCATTGCCGAGGACAAGGCGGGCAAGCTCCGCTTCACAGACACGCGCCCGGACGAGCAGGAGCGCTGCATCACAATCAAGTCGACCGCCGTCTCGCTCTTCTACGAGCTGTCGGACAAGGACTTGACCTACATCCAGCAACCCGTCGACGGCAACTCGTTCCTCATCAACCTCATCGACTCTCCCGGGCACGTTGATTTCTCCTCCGAAGTGACGGCCGCGCTTCGCGTGACGGACGGCGCCTTGGTGGTCGTCGACTGCGTCTCGGGCGTCTGCGTCCAGACCGAAACCGTCCTGCGACAAGCCATCACCGAGCGCATCAAGCCCGTGCTCATGCTCAACAAGATGGATCGCGCGCTGCTCGAGCTCCAGCTCGACGGAGAGCGACTCTACCTCACCTTCCGCAAGATTATCGAGCAAGTCAACTCAATCATCGCAACCTTCAGCGAGCCCGACGGCCCCATGGGCGATGCCACCGTGTCCGTGACGGCCGGTAGCGTGTGCTTTGGCTCTGGCCTGCAGGCCTGGGGCTTTACGCTCAAGCAGTTTGCCGAGTTTTACGCGACCAAGTTCAACGTCTCCGTGACCAAGATGATGGACCGGCTCTGGGGCGAGCACTTTTACTCACCCACCGAGCGCAAGTGGTCCGACCAACCATTGCCGGGCTACGTGCGCGGCTTTGTCCACTTTGTCATGGACCCCATCGAGCGCGTCTTCAAGTCCGTCATGCACCCAGAACAGGCAGCGCAGCCCTTGGACACCCTGCTCGAGGTGCTCAACATTAACTTTACCAAGGCCCAGCGGGATGCTGCCAAGACCAACAAGGAGCTGCTCAAGGCTCTCATGAGCACATGGCTGCCCGCCGGCGACGCCTTGCTCCAGATGATCACCATCCACCTGCCATCACCCGTCACCGCGCAAAAGTACCGCTGCGAGCTCCTCTACGAGGGTCCTCAAGACGACGAGGCTGCCATGGCCATCAAGAACTGCGATCCCAACGGCCCGCTCGTCATGTACATTTCCAAGATGGTCCCAACCGCCGACGCGAGCCGCTTTTACGCCTTTGGCCGCGTCTTTGCAGGCAAGGCCAGCTCTGGCCAGAAGGTCCGCATCATGGGCCCCAACTTTGTCCCCGGCCAAAAGGACGATTTTTACGTCAAGAACATTGCCCGCACGGTGCTGATGATGGGTCGCTACATTGAAGCCCTCGACGACGTGCCCTGCGGCAACATTGCCGGCCTGGTCGGCATCGACAGCTACCTGGTCAAGACCGGCACCATCACGACGTACGAGGAGTGCCACAACATGCGCGTCATGAGTACCGACTCGCTGTCGTCGGTGCATCATGTCGCGATCCAGCGATCTCCCAAGCTGATCGAGGCTCAGCGCTAGACAAGTTCGATTCTCTGTCAGTGCATGACACGAACGAGCGAGCACATCATCGCCGGCGCCGGCGAGCTGCATCTCGAAATCTGTCTCAAGGACTCGAGGAAATCACGCCGGCGTCCGATCAAGCGCTCGAATCCTGTGGTTGCCTACCGCGAGACGGTCTCGCAAGAGTCTGAAATCCTCTGCCTCTCAAGTCGGGCAACAACCACAACCGAATCTTTGCCAAGGCCACCCGCTCGAAGAAGGCCTGGCGACGCCATCGAGAGCGGCGCCGTCTCGAGCCGCACCGAGTCCAAGGAGCGCGCCCGGTACCTTGCCGAGAAGTTTGACTGGGATCCCACCGAAGGTCGCAAGCTGTGGTGCTTTGGTCCGACCGACGACGGCCCCAACATGCTCGTCGATGCCACCAAGGGTCTCCAGCTCATGGACCAGATCAAGGACTCGTGCTCGCGCGGCTTCCAATGGGCCACGCGCGAGGGCGTCTTGTGCAACGAGCAAGTCCGCGGTGTTCGCGTGCGCATCCTTGACGCGACCATCATCCCCGATCAGGCACATCGCGGCGCCGTCCAAATCCTGCCCGCAATGCGCCGCTGCACGTACGCCAGCATGCTCTCAGCCAAGCCAAAGCTGCTCGAGCCGTTCTTCCAGGTCGAGGTCCAAGTGCCGACCGACTCTGTCGGCAGCGTGTACAGCGTGCTCAACAGCCGACGCGGCTTGGTGAACGGACAGGAGGTCCAAGACGGCGTGCCAGTCACCATCGTCAAGGCCTTCATGCCCGTCAGCGAGTCCTTTGGCTTCAACGCGGCCCTTCGCGAAGCCTCCCGAGGCACCGCATTCCCGCAATGCACCTTCTCGCACTATGACGAGCTGCCCGGCAACCCGCTGCAGGCTGGAAACAGGGCTTACGACGCGCTCATGGCCACCCGCAAGCGCAAGGGCATGGAGCTTGTTGTGCCCGTCCTGCAAAGCTACCACGATCGTCTCTAAAGCGTGCAGAGCTTCTTCTTTTTTTGCTGATTGATTGATTTCTTCCGCGCTCTTGGAGGTGACATTTTTGGTTTCTCGATTGATTTGATGTCTTTGTCTTGTTCCTTGTTCTTTTTTTGTTCTTTTTTTCGTTTCTTTCTTTCCTCGTTGTGATTGTATGTTTGTCTTTTTGTTTTAAATTATCATAAACGTCTTCACAACAAACCTCAAGCAATCCCAAACTTTATCGAAATGGTGGCTGTTGGACGCTGCAGATAAGTGCATCAATGTATTGTCAAAAATCAACAAATGTCCTCCGCGACAACAGCTTTTCAGAGCAGGCAATGGCAAAATGAAAAGAAAAAAAATGAAATGCCGGGCCTGATCTGGTCGCACTTTCGTCGAATGCGGTGGGACAAATTTACAAACGCTGGGGCTTGTCCAAGTTGATACCGTACTTTTCAGAGATGCGCTGTCGGTTTGCAGCAGAAGTGGCAAGAGAATCGCTGCGGTAGAAGGTGCCGTGGTTGATGGTGGTGGAGCTGGGATCGTGCGAGTTGGCCATCAACGGCTGTTGCTCGCGGTTGGCAAACAGGTCGACGTCCTGCTTGCCGTGGTCGGGATCGTGGTGGTAGTTGCGAGCGACAAGGAATTGCTGCAAGGCCATACCAACAACCGCAAGTGCAAACCAGCCACCCAGGACAAGATACGAGTTTCGATGGCTGTCCTCTTGCGCCCAGCCGAGGTAATCGTAGGAAATGTAAAACCCAAAGAACGAGTGGGTCTGGAAGATGCGCGCAACACCGGAAAACACGCCTTGCATAAAGCCGGACTCGACATAGTGGTCCACCAGCACGAAAACGCCCAGAGCGCCAACGAGGCTGGTCGAAGCAATCACGCTGGGACGAGGGAAGATGAAGCACACCACGCCAAGCGCAACCACGAGCGGAGCAAAGAGACCATAGATCGGGCCATCGTCCTCGAACTTGGAATGGGCAGGGCTCGAAATGACGATGGCAGTGACCAGCAGCGCCACCAACGCGCCAAGGAACGGCAACGTCAGACGCCAGAAGATGTAAGCCAAAACGCCGCCAACGAGGCCAACGCCAATGGAGACAGGAATGGACACTGTTCGAGTGGGAAGTTGGGCGGAGGAGGAGGAGCGTGAGCAGGAATTCACACCCCAAAACAAAAAAAAAAAAAAAAAAAAAAAAAACCAGCATGTTAGAACTGTACCTTGGTTGGGAGAGTCAATGCGACCATCGACAATAAAGTATGTGACAATCGCAAACAGCACGGTCACGACGACAGCCATCACTGCAAAAAAAGAAAAAAAAAAGTGAGCAAATGAAAAACAACCAATGAAAGTAAAGCGGAATGCGACACCAAATCACAAAGAATGATGCCCTCGGCCAAAGAAACCCAGAAGGCATTTGCCCCAAAAATCAGAGAGGAAAGTTGGAGGTGGTGGCGTGGTTGTTTGTCGCGCGATAACTCCCACAACAACGAGCGAGGAAAGGATCGGCGACAGCGCCAAAAGTGAGCATCATGGCCTTCTCTCCCGTTTTCGTGTGAGGAGATTGATCCTGCCAATCACCAAGTCATGCTAGCGGCGTCTCAAAACACTATCAGCTGCACTCAATGTCAAACCATGAATTTCTCCAAGTCCTTCTTTCTCTCTCTCTCTTTCTCTCTCTTTCTCTCTCGTTTGACGTATGACGTGTGTCATACAAGGACATGGAATGACTGCCAATCACCGAATCCTAGGAACAGCGCTGAGACAAAAAAAGAATCCAGTGACGATAGCTTCGCCCCACTGTGATGATCGGCAGCGGCAAATCAAAGCCAACAAGCCGTGACTGTGACTGTGTGTGGCTTGGCGGGTTTCCTTCTCTGCCCAAGCCTCGCATCGGGCCCCGCGCACACGTCTTGCTGCCAGAGTGCCAACACTGCACTTTGCATAGTGAGTGTGTGCAATAGAAGGCGCTATCGCTTACCTGGACGGAAGAGCCGGTAGCCGAGCACGAGTAGCACGAGACCGGCCATGACGGCGACCGCAATGCCGACGCCAGTCTGCCACTCTGGATTGCCATCGTCCGGCGACGGCGCGGGGGGCGCGGGCGACGCTGATGCAGCAGCAGCACCGCCGTCAAGAAGTGGGGCGGCGTGCGCGGTGGCCTGAGCGAGCAGCGCCAGAGCCAGTGCACTCGCAGCAATCTTCATTGTTCGGTTTGTGTTCCTTCTTGTCGGTCTGATCGGATGATGGCTGAGACCCGTGTTGATGGGGACGATTGTGGATGGTCTTTGTTTTGTTTTGTTGGAAACACGACGTTGGCTGGGCTGGAGTTTGGCTTGGAACAACGACAAAGCGTTTCTCTGGATTTGCATTGGAAAAAAAAAAATCAGCCGAGTCAAAAACGAAACATTCAAAAAAAAAAAAAAAAACTTGGTCAAATCTTACAGCAAACAAAAGACGAGACTGCATTGTTCAGAGTTTTGTTAAGAGGTCAAATACAAATATGGAAATCACAGATCAAATAAAAGAGAAGAACTTTTATGTATTCAAGTGCAGAGCAGTTTTGTAACATGGAAAAGAGAAAAGGATCGGCGAGCAACAAGTTCGTTCATCCCGTTTCGTGCCATCAAAGTGCAATAAGAACAACAGCATGGTAGTGTTGTCACATCAGCAAGCCGAAACTTGGCATGGCATGATGCTGCACTTTCATGGACACGAACAGAACAAGGAAACTCGGCAAGCACAGACACCTCCCAGCCAAAAGCAAACGCAAACCCATGCAACAAAGCACAACAAAGCTGCATCGAAAAAAAAAAAACATCATCAAGCTGCAAAACATAAGAGAAGATGAACTAAAGCACAGCGGAGGCAAGAGCGCCCGCGCACCGAAAATAACAAACGGGAAGAAAAGAAGCGGTTAACAACGCAACAACTCACTCTCCATCAAGAAGAGTGTTGCGAGAGGAGAGAGGGGAAAAAAGGAGGGAAAACAGAGAAGAGCAAAGAACTTAAGAGGCAAAATCAAAACGGCCAGCCGCGGGGAGAAGACAATAACAAAAACAAAAAAAAAAAAAGCGACGGCCGACCAGAAAAAAGAAAAAAGAAAAAGTTGACAGAAAAGAAGAAAATAATCAAAAAATCAGGCATAAGTGGAAATCAAGCGACAGCTATCATCCATAGCGTTCGTCATGACAAGGAATCAACACAAGAAATTTGGTCACAAGGGGGGGGGGAGGAGGACCCTTCCCTCGCTTGTTTCCGTTTCCTCACTTGTACCAATCAAAAAATGTTCCAAGCGAGGTCTGCACCCACCCCATGTCGCTGTTGAACACACAAAAAACGCAAAGACGTTTTCAGCCATTGATGTTCAGATTCTGCTGACTCTGTCGGTTGGAAGAACGAGAGTCGCGCGACGCCTTCTTTTTGGGTGGGGCAGCCAGTCCTCGGATGCGGGCAAGACGGCCAGCAAGCGGGGGCAGACTGGTGGCGAGTTTGAGCACAAGCACCAACGCAGCAGGTGCAAACGCAATGACCGAGACAGGAGGCAGCCAGTACGAGCCGTTCCAGCCGTCAACCGCAGGCAAGTCTCCGAGCGCAAAGCTCATGAGCAAGGCATGGGTTGTGCCGAGCGCCAGCGCCACAGGGCCCAGCTTGGATTGCACAAAGTCCCACTCGCGCCAGGTGAGGCTGGCGCCGACAGCGGGCTGCGACGTGACGGCCACGCAGACCAGCAAGGCGAATGCAAACAGACCGGCAAGCATTGCGCCCTGGTACTCGGCGCCCTGGCGCGACTCGACGTACGCCCAGTCGATGAACAGCGACGTGGTCATCATGGCAGCGACAGCGTGCAGCGCAGCCGAGCCAAAGCCGAGAACACCCAGCGCCTTGCGTGCGCGCAGCCAGGCATCGAGCCAGTCGGGAAACGCCTTCTTGGCCGTGTTGGTAATGAGCTGGCGCAGTGCAGCCACAACGCCGGCGCAAAACGTGAGCGTGAGAAGCGCGAGGGCATGCCACGCAATGACAACGTTGAACTTGAGGAAGAGCAAGTCCTTCCAAGCTGGGGATCCGCCAGCGGGGGTGGCAAGGTACACGTCGCGAACAGCCACGTAAATGTAGGAAAACACAAACAGGATGAGACTTGTCCACAGGGCCGAGTGCCATTCGTTGAAGAGCTGCAAGGGTCGACGCTCAATCTCACGCGCAGCAATCAGCGGGCCTGCATCGACGGGGCGCATGCCGATTGCCAGCACGAGGCGGGACACGACGTCCTTGGCCCACGAGTTGTTGCCGCACATGAGGACGCGATCGTCCACACGCTCGCCAGCGCTCTTTGTGAGCGCGAACGCCGAGACAGTGTTGAATGCCTTGACGACGTCGACGCCTGGCATCATGCGCTGGAGTCGCTCGGCGTACGAAAGCACGTTCTCGTCCTCTTCCTCGACGCCATCAATAATGTTGTTGTCGGACGCCGGGGCAACCTCGACTTCCTCGTCAGCCAGCAGGCTGTTTGTGCTCTTGGAGAGTCGGTTGTAGCCAGCCTTGTTGCCGTGTCCGATGGTGTTCTTGCTCGCTGAGAAATCGAGTGCGACATGTGCTGGTTCGCTCTCGTTCAGGCTGACGGGGCTGAACACTGCCGATGCGGCTGAAGCAGGAGCGGTTGTTGCTTTGGCATTTCCAGTAGCAGATGCAGCTGGAGCTGGCTTTGGCTTGGGAGGGCGGAGGTCTTCAATATCGACGACGTACGACGATGCAAAGCTGGCCCTTGCCACTTGCGCTCGGTACACGTCGCTTTCGGTCGCAGCAGCGGTAGATTCGCGCTCGTACTCGAGCTGCGGCGTGAGCTTGCTATTAAATCCTTGCTGGTCTTGATCCTGGCCTGCATGCAGGTGGCTGCAGTTTGCATCGTCACTGGTGGCACACACGTTGCAGTCGCCACCACATGGATTGACGAGCAGACCATTCGTGGCCAAGTTTGCTCCACCGCCATTCTGCTGATGGTGGTGATGATGATGAGCAGCATTGTATGACGCTGTGAATGCGCCTGCAGTGGTGGGCATGAGCAGCGGCCGGCGCTCGTCATCATCCAATGGAGTTTTGCTATTCTTGGAGGTGGGAACGGGTTTGGCAGGAGCAGCAGGACTGTCGCCGCAGCCGCCACACGCACCGCACGTCGCCATGTCGCCCGTGCACTCGGAGCCAAAGCCGCCGCTGAGTCGTGCAGCAGACCGAGCAGCAGCAGCAGCAGCAGACAGAGAGGCGCTCGAGCGCGGTGTCGGCGATGTCACGCGTGAGGCGATCGGAGAAACCGCGGCGGACGCGCGCTGGGACTTGCTCTTCCCGCCGTTGCTCTTACGCGACGACGACGACGAGAGTGGCGCGTTGCTGACGTCGATGAGGACGACGCCGCGGTTGGAGACGGTGCGGCGGAGGCACTCGGCCATCGCACAGTGCGCTGCTAATGGAACCGCGAGAATGACCACGTTCGACCGCGCGGCTGCAGCGCATGGTCCGAGCAGCGGCGCCCCGTGCAGCATCTGCGGTTGTGGCTGTTGAGACTGTTGAGACTGTTGAGACTGTGGTTGTAGTGGTGGTGGTGGTGGTGGTGATGAGCCGCCGTTGCTGGGCTGCTCTTGCGCCGTGGCCGTGGCGGATGATTGGAGGCTGCTGTCAGTGTCACCATCGCCCGACCGACGGCTGCCAAAGACGACCGTCACACCGGCGCTCAGCAGGCGTTGGCCCAGCGCAGTCGCATACGAGCCAGTGCCGATAATCGCAACCCGCAGCGGCGCTTCTGCTCGCAGGTCGTTCATTGGCAAAAAAGATGAGATGAAAAGAAGGAGGACTGGAAAAAAACGAAAGGGGGAAAAAATGATAAAAGATACTGTAAACCGAGCGATAGTGGAAACAAGCAGATCAGAAGATGAGCAGGAAGGGGGGAAGGCTGATGGATACATGGCGAGGGTAGACAGTGGAAGGTAGCTCAAGCGGGATGAGCAGGAGGCAAAATCGACCTAAAGCCGTGGAGAAACATCTGAGAATTGTCCCATTCGTTCGCGCTGGTTTTTTGTTTGTTTCGGAAATGGTTCAACCGAGGAGACTTTGAGAGAGAGAGAGAGAGCGCGCGCGAGAGAGAGAGCTCGATTGTGGCAGAGTGGGGCTTGGGGTTTGAAGTTTGAGAGTCGTGGAAGCTGGCAGTTTAGCTGCTTCTACGAGGAAAGGACGCGTTGAAAGCGGGAGGGGGAGGAAATGGGTTAGCCGGAATCATGCGGTGCTGCATGTTCCTCTCGATTCGTGTGATCAAGGATGGACACCACTCATGAACGACAGCGTGATCAACACTTGTCCGCTCCAATTGTTGGCGCGCGGAATCAACGTTAGTTTCGATCGGTTGGTCGCGCAAGTTCGAGACAAAGACAAAACGGACTTCGTTTCGACCGATTCGTCAAATCACCGCAAAACAGAGGTTGCCAAAACTTTTCTCAAACAACGAAACAGTACATCTCTGAGCAAGCAATGGTAGTCATCGACATCATGGTTTGATCCTGAGCAACATGACACGAAACAGCTCTTTCTTTTTTTTCTTCTTTTTTTTTTTGGACAAGACAACGCCGAACAACATCTCATTCATTCAGCATACTCTCTCAGCACACACGTCCATCTTGTTCACTCGGATTGCATGCTCCAGTCATCGACAGCTACTCAATGCTGCGGGGAGTAATCCCGTCGATGATACGCCTTTCAAGGTCGAAACGCTTGGCTCGAATGCATGAATCGCAGCGAGTTTGCCGGCAACCGCAATGCCGGTCGAGCTGACGACGACAGCAATGACGATGATGCTACTGCTATTGACGATGATCCCGGCACTGCTTGTGCGATGATCTGCACTGATGACCGAGGATTGATTTTGGATGTGAATCCTGATTGGGCGGACTGGGCGAGCGTTGAGAAGGCCCTCACGCCACTGCCCGCCACACCAGCAGCACCAGCAGCACCAGCACTAGTAGTAGAAGTAGAAGTAGACTGCGTCTGGGCCTGGGACTGCGACGGCGACTGGAACTGGGGGAATCCCGCCAGCCCAGCGCTGCCATTCTCCACGGCAGTCGCCAGCGCGCGCATCACCTCGACCGAGTACGGGTCAGTGTCTGCGTCCGTGTAGGTGCGTTTCAGGAAGCGGTACTTGCGCAACTTGTACATTGCCTCGAGCTCGCGGATGACAAACCGTGCGCGCTCGTGCAGCTCGGCAATCTTGCCCGGATCCGTCTCTGAGCGGTTCTTGGCGAAGGCGCGGTGCAGCCGCTCTCGAAAGTACGCAAACCCGAGCGGATAGTCGCGTCCCATGAACAGCAGCTGTTTCGTTATTGATCATTGTGATTGTGTTTTCCATCGTCGAGGTTTTTCCATCAACAAGTGCGAATGTGAGTGCGAAAAACACCAACGCTAAGGAAAAATCTCTTAATCTTGATCTGCATTCAAAATCTCTTAATCTTGATCTGATCTTCATTCAGTCTCACTCCAATTCTTCGAGTCAGGAAGTGGAGCTCAAGTGCATGTGGCACTGAAGTCAGAATGCTCACCTCTTTGTACAATCGCCGGGAAGTCGAATTCATCGATTGCATGGTTTTGTTGGTTTGAGTGAAACGAAAGAAGACTGAACAAAGCACACAATCACAAAAAGGGAACGACGGATACATATGGAGCAGAGTGGAACGTTGTTGACTGGCGCATGGTGGATTTAGAAACATGTTTTCTAGAATTTCGAACAAACAAAAAAACAAAACAGCAATTTTCACCAATCCCGAAAACCCGTTCATCGGAAGAACTTCTTGCTCTTGAATGTGGAAACCTTGTCTGCCTTCTTGAGCACGTTCGATTCATCGTCATCAAACACAATACGGCTGCACAGGCCAAAAACAAAAAAAAACAAATCAAGCCAAACAAAACAACGGTCAGCTTTGTTTCCGAGTCTCAAAATTCCCTCCAATTCCCCCCCCCCACCTCCTCCTGTCTTCTGCACTTTTCATCCAACACTCACCTGGCTCCAGAGGCAAGCTTTTGCTCTTGTGGTGGCTGGCTCTTGGCCTTGCCGTTGGCAGCTGCGCCAGACTTCTTGGCCTTGGGGGCGTCGGTGATGTCCATATCGTCGTCGTCGCTGGCATCCATGTCATCGTTGTCATCATCCTCGTCCATGGCATCATCGTCGTCGTCGTCGTCTTGGTCGTCATCATCATCCTCACGAGCGCGGCGCTTGTCACGCTTGCGCAAGACAACGTCGTCGTCCTCCTCGTCGTCATCCTCGCCATCATCGGACGAGTCATCATCATCGTCCTCATCATCTTCATCGTCGTCGTCGTCCTGGTCGTCGTCGGATGTCTGGGCTGCGTTCTTACGCTGGAGCTTGAGAGCCTCGGCAATCTGTTGCTCGCGAAGCTTGGCCTTGCGCAATTCTTCGGTCGCCTTGAGTGCCACAAAGTACTTGCGAACGGGTGCCTGGTTGCGGGCAGTTTCCGTCGCCTCCCATTGGCGCTGTATGAAGATAAAACAATAGGACAGGCACAACAGAAAAGTGAGCATTTTTCATCAGTGTTTCAGGCTCTTTGAACCCCAACGCTCTCCCTTCCAACAGCCTTACCACTTGAGCAATGTCCTTGGGCGAAAAGCTGACAGTCGCACGGCGGGACGAGATGAAACGAGCATTGTCCTCAATCTTATCCAAAACCTGCTTCACCTGCTTGCGCACGGCGGGCATTTGGGTGCGCTTGAGCACACGCTTGAGCTGAATCAGTGCGGGCAACGCCAGCTCAGGGAAGCCAATCGCAAATGCGTGGATGCTAACGTGCTCCAGCAGTAAGAAGAGCGTGCTTTCCATGACCGTGTCCTACCGGCAAACAAAATGAACAACAACAAATCAGTGCAAAAATCAACCAGAAGGACCTTTTTAAAAACAAAAACACACAAACGTCCCTTCAACACTCACCTGGAACACCTTGGAGCGCGTAAAAGTCTTGGCCACCTTGACGAGAAGGCCAAAATCAACGGGCTTGGTGGTGGATGCGACAAAGCGCTTCTTCATGTCGCTCGACTCGAAGACTTCCACAATGTAGGGAAGAACCGGAATAAAGGTGCCCGTGGCCGCGGACAGTGCATTCATGTTGCCAATGCAGTGGAAACGGAGAGGGAAGTAGCGCGCCGTTGGGATGAGGCGGATTGTGCCGCCAAGAATCTGGGCAAGGGGATAGACGAGAGGAGCAAGCACGCTCTCTGCGCCACCGCTCTGGGCGCGGCGCTCGGTGCTGGCGTACGCGGAAAGAACGCGTGTCCAGGCGGTCAAGCAGTGCAGGAATTGCCAGTTGTACACGTTTCGGTAGGCCTCCTTCTTTTTCAACGTGAGCGCCGAACGGAGGTGGATGGCAAGTTGGCGAATGTACACGAATGCATGTTGGTAGGTCGACCACATGTCAATGCCATACAGCTCGACAACGCAGTTCAGCATAAACTGAATCAGGGGCATAGATTGGGCATTAGTGAACCTGCTGTTGCGGACGAAGGTCAGATAGATGGACTGTCGGGAACGGGACGAACGAACAAAAAAAAAAAACGGGAACGAAGGAAGGCGAAAAGTGAGTCACTGGCAAATCGAATCATCAAAGTGCGACAAACAACCGCCCCAAACAAACACTCCCGAGCCTACCTTCAGGCACAAATCCAAGAACGGGTAAGGGCAAATCAGAGCCATGCGGCGAATGCCAAGGAAGGCCATGACACGAACTTGCTCGTGTGCGTGCGACCAGAGGTCGAGCAACGTCTTGAGCAAGGCTCGGGAAATCTTGGGGAAGGGGGCAAACAGAGCGGTCGCGCGCTCGAGGTTTTGCAAGACGAACGACGTCAGGTTGTCGTCTGTCAGCTGGCGCAGCAGATGCAGCGCGTTCGAAGTGAAGGACTTGACAAGAACACGCATCTTGCCCCAGTTCTTGTGTTGCGAGAGAAGCTTGGGCTTGGGTGCGCTGGCCTCCTCGCCGGCAGCGGCCGTGTCCATTGCGGCGGTGGAGGCACCGCCCAGCAGGTGCATAAACGTGGCAACACCCTGCTTAAGGGCCACGGCGATGGCGGCGTTGTACACGGCGGGTGAATCAATGCGGTACATGGCAAATTCGCGGGCGGGATTCTTGGCACGCTTCTCGGACTCGGGGGTGGCGTCGTTGACACCGTCGTTCATGTGACATGCGATGCGGAACGACACGACAACGTGGCGGAGAGCCTTGAGGGAGTGTTTCTAGTGTTTCGGAACAGGCCCCAGTGCAAAGTCAAAGTCAGACAAAATTTCCACAACGCGAAAAACAAATCAAAACAACCAAAAAATCAAAACAACCAAAACCAGCATCGTCGTACCTGCGCCAATACTTGTGCCCAGCCGTTGATGCGATCAATGGTGAGCTTTTGTGCTTCCTTGCGAGCCTTAAACGACTTGGCGGTGGCATTGTCCATGTCACTTCCATCCTCGTCGTCGTCGTCGTGATCCGCAATCAGGTCAGCGTCGCCCATGTCGTCCTCGTCGAGCTCTTCGTCGTCGTCGCCGAGATCAGCTGCCAAATCTTCGTCAGTTTCGCCGAATGCGAGCAGCTTCTTGTCGTTGTTGCGGAGGAACTCGTAAAACTCGGGGTCCTTCTTCTTGAGGCGCTCAAGCTGGCTGCGGTGGGCGTCCACTTCGGATTCGAGCATGGCGGTCTGCTTCTTGGAGGCTGCGACGGCAGGGTGCGTTCCTATTGGGGCAAGAACGAAGCGGGCAATCGGTCAGGACCACGGCAAATCAGCAATAACAGTGAAAAGAGCGGAATCAAAGCATACCCTTCTTGGAGACGGGAGCATCGTCGTCCTCGTCAGCCTCGTCATCGTCCTCTTCATCATCAAAGTCCTCCTCGTCTTCGTCTTCGTCTTCTTCCGCTTCTTCGTCATCATCGAGCTCGACGTTTTCGTCGTCGGAATCCTCCATCATGGCGGCGGCAAGATCGTCGTCGTCCTCGTCGTCATCCTCGTCGTCCTCGCCGTCGTCGGACAGATCTTGCATGGCGTTCATGAACTCGTCGACGTTAAGCGACTCGAGCTTTCTGCCAATTGTAATGTTCCGTCTCAATGAGCGTTGCACACCAAACGATGAAACCCTGAGCTGACGCGCAAAAACTTACGGGCTTTGAGCGCTTTGCTCTTGTCTGTCTGCTCTTCCTCGTCGTCTTCGTCGTCATTCGCTTCTTGATCTACAAAAGCAGTCGACACACGTTGCATTGAGTACAAAGTGCGCCAAGTCAATGCTTCAATGCTTCACTGCTTCAGTACGACTCTTTCTTCCTCAACCGCAATCCCCCTCGTTTAGACACCCCCCCCCGCTTCTCGCTTCAACACATTCGAATCTCGCTCATATGAACGACACGCAAACCGAGTTCGTCCGACAAACACCGACTCCACAAATGCGAATCGCAATGCAAGTCCACTTCTCCACGTGGAATAACCCGACGTCCCAAATCGTCGTCGCTCAGCCAGCTGAACAACCCCGCTTCGGATGCGTCACTCCTGAGCAACAGAGTACTCGGTGTCATCGATGACAATGCGCCACAAGGTGGGACTGGCTGAGGACTGGCTGGTGGACTCGAGACGCCAAAGCGATGCGGGAGGGCGAGCGCCATGAGGTCTCTCGCTCTGCCACTCACTCTGCTTCTTGACGGGCTGCTGCTTGCGCGACTTGCGCTTGCCGCTGCCAGAGCTGCTGCCACCGCCGATGCTGGCGATCGCGGCCTTGAGCGAGGCGGACGTCGGGGTGGCGCTGCGCTTGCCCGCGCGCTGCTTCTCGGCAGTCTGCGCCTTCTTTGTCTTGAGGAAGGTTTTGGTCCGCTTTGAGATTTTGCCCATTTTGCAGTGGTAGCACAAAAACTGAAAGGGGGGAGTGGGGGGATTGAATTTGGCAAAATGGAAAAACTCTGAGAAAACACAGTGGGTTTTTTTTTTGTGTTTGAATTTGAAAGCTCCCTTTTTTTTTTCTTTCGTTCATCCTTCGCCATGTCGCAATTGCACAGTGTTGTGACACAGACAACCAAACTGACTCTTCCGGCACGTGTATCACTCGCGCGTCGCTTGCTCGAACAATCGACCGCGATCTATCTGCCTCGGCTCTGCCTGGAGTTCTTGTGGTCGGTGCTGGTCGATATCGAAGTGCCAGCGAGGAAGCGTCAGACTGCAGCGTCCATCATGCAACCCAGTGAATCCACGGAATCCAGCGATTCGCTTGGCTCGTTGACAAACAAGCTGAAGCTTTTTGTCGACAATACTGTGGCGATGGACGGTAAGGAACGAGCAAGCACGGGTGCTGCAAACAAAAGGTCGCTCACTTTTTCTTTTCTTCTTTCTTTTGCCCAGCGATTCGTGACGCTCTGCTGGCGCTCAAGACACCGTCGTCACCCAGCTCTCCCAAGAGACCACAGCGCAATATTCTTGTTTTGGCATTGTCTACTTGGGAAAAATGGCACGAAGACGTTGTCTCAACCGTCGCAGCGAGTTCTGCGCGCGACCTGGTTATCGAGCAAATGACATCACTCAACGACCCCATTGACGAAGACGCCAGACCCACTGACGCCGCGTTCAAAAATGCCTACACGCTTCTCCAAAAGCTCGACGACCGCCACTTTCCCCACATGCCAATGATTGAATCGAACGGACAGCGCGGTGTGATGCTCGTCTGGGAAACGATTTCTGCCACCATTACATTCGTTGATCAAGGAGAAGTCGTTGTGTCGATGCTCCGGAAGCCAAAACCGTGGCTCGCAGCCATGAATTCAACACCCGAAGTGTTCGGCAAGCTGGTTCGTGAGCTATTCGAGCAAACAACATGTGATTGAATTGTACAGGAATAGAATTGCCTAATCTGCATTTGCGCGCAGGCTGGTTGCAACATTGCGAGAGTGGGCGAGCGCGACTTGTTTTTGAATGGCTGTCATGCGAGAAGCAGCTATGCCCTCATAAACACGGGCACCAAACAAACCGCCTCAAAGCGCTGGCGGAGGGTCGACGCGCTCGGAGGCAAGCGCATCGGGGTGAGGCGCGCTCGCCATCTCGCGTCGTTTCTTGAGGAACTGGCTGGCCACCTTGTCATGCAATGAACGTTGCTGCAGGACGTGGAACATGACAAAGGCTTGCTGCGAGAGCGTCAGAAGGTCCTCGCGAATGGTAGAAACGTCAGCACCAGCGTGCACGGCAACGTCGAGCAACGACAAGAACAAGGCCTCCTGGTCATCGCCGAGTGGCAAGCGTGTGAATGAAACGTCCAAGCGTTTTGATCCTTTGCTGGCCAGATCGGCAGGCAGAAGAAGAAGCGCCTCGCCAATCGCATCGTCGGCTGACAACAGGTCATAGTCCATCGCTTGGATGTACAGCACGGTGGAACCAAGATCAAAGTCGCTGGCAGCGCTGGTCAATGGGCTGGTAGAGGAAACAGAATGTCAGAGAGAGAAGCGAGAAGCGAGAAGTGAACGACACAGTCACAACAACAGCGACAGATTTCAGCCTTTTACAATGACAGCTTGGTGTTAAAGTGAGGGTTGAGCGTCGTCTTTTGGACGGGCGTTTTCTGAACAGCGGGAGACTTGGTGTCACCGACCCGCGACAGCGTCAGGATGAGGTATGGGTCAGCTTTGCCTGTGACAGTTGAGCGAAGGGCAAATGAGAATGCAAAAACAAATAGGAACAGGGCAAGGAATGTTCCTAACATGACTTACCATCGGGATCCATCGGCGGGAACGCAAATCCGTCGAGAACTACAGGAAACGCGAAATTTCAACACAATGAGAAACAACGAAACACACACAACGAACAACAATCATTTCAATGGTTACCATGAACAAGAAGTTTGGCGGGCGTCGATGCGTTATCGAGCGTCAGCTCCAGCTGCACTCGACCCAGGCCTTGAGGGGTCTGGATAAAGCAGCCACGCAGCAAACGATCAATGAGAACAAGAGAGACACACAAAACAAAAAAAAAAACTCGAGCATCCGCTTACCAGGGTTTGCCAATGGGCGAGCAGCAGCTGGAATTGAACCACGACATCCTCGGTCTTGGCGACGTACCAGTGCATGATGTGCTTCAGATGTTGGTATGAGCTGCCACCGAGCTCGTCCTGACAGAGACCATCGCCTTCGGCGTGGAAGAAACCTTGCAAAACCTCGAGAGACTTTTCAAGCACACGGCATTGATGCTCCGACAAGGGCGCTTGCATCTCGTCGGTCGTCGTCTGCGTCGCCGTCGGATGGTGGCTGCTGTCGCGCCGGAGCGCCGTTTGGGTGGCCGTTTCAGTGGCGTCCGCCGTTGTGGAGCGCTGCATTGCTTGCGGGATCAGCAAGTGACAGACGTTGCCCACGACGCGGTTCCACAAATGACGCAGAATGCCTTGGAAGACCACAAAGAACAGGCGGTCGGAGGTTGTTTCGAGGTTGCTGTTCAAGTAGTCCAGAAGAGGCTGCAGAGCGTTTCGAACCTCATTGTCTGTTACATTGACCACCTTGGTCGGAACGACCTGCGACAGCTTGACGTCGCCCGTTGCCTCGCTCTTCGACGAGGAGAAGAAGCTTGAGAACGAGAAAGCCGAGGGCTTGGAGACACAGGCTGTGACGCGCAAGTAGTTGTTGATATCCGGTGACATCTATTGATCAAAGGTGGGGCGAACCAAAAAAAATCAGGATGAGCAAAGAATGGAGCTCGCACTCAAAGATTGCTCCATGCTTGAATGCTTACCCGATCGGCGACCATGCTCGTTAAACGGGTGAGCACAATCTGAAGATACTCGTTCGTATCGTCCAGCAACATCCGGATGGGAGAGGTGTTGGACGACGCCTTTCCGTCGGCTCGCAGTTGAGCTACCAGTGCATCCACTTCCATGCTCTGGTACATGTCATTCAGAAGCTGGGTCGCTTGCTCGATATTATTCAGCGTGCAGCACAGCTGCAGATCCATTCGAAAGCGAAAAGAAGCATTTGCGTCAGCAACCAGCTGCGAGAGTAACAACTCACTCGCAAAACGAAAGCACTCACCTCGGGCGTGACATCAAATTGACCATCCAAATCGTAAAATCCCTTTCGAATAACATCATCACTGAGCTCATCCGCGTACAAGCGAACGCCTTCCGAAATTGTCTGGTTGAAAAATGAGAGATGCAAGAGTGAAAATCACAGTCACCAACCACCCTTTTCGCCATCTCCAACAGCTCACTCACTTTGGTGAGTGTGATCAAAAGCGAGTAGCGGAATTCTGGATCAGGCCAGCCCAGATCATTCAAGAAGGCAAGAATCGACGAGAAAATGTTAAAGACATCGACGACCGAGGAAGAGTAAAGCGCCTTCTCCACTTTCACAAACTAACAACACAAACGTCCAGTCAATCGAAACGTGAGTTTCAAAGAACCACGCACAGACACAACAAAAACATGTCAGCAACCACATTCCCTCTGACCTGATCGTGCTGAACCGAACTGGAAATCCAGGCATTCATCCGTGTCTGGGTAATTTCAATCCAAGTGGTCACGGCAGCAGCAAACCATTCGTGGAAGGAGGCAAAGCCGGTTTCCTGTTGCTGCTCGGGCGTCAGCAACTTGAGCGGCCCGTCCAGTAAGCGCTTGATCGCAAAGTACAGTTGAAACACGGCCGTGATGTGCTCGGCGTCATGGATCACGACGGACTGCACGAATTTACTGTGGCGCGAGGCGTACTCGAGGACCATGAGGGACGTAGCATTCGGCACCGTGCTGTTGAACAAGCAACAAGATTGTCAGCAAAAAAAAAATTGGCCAACCCATTTCCAACAAGGACAAGGTGGCAATCAAAGCACAAACCTCTGCAGCGCGCGCCCGTAAATGCTCATGACGTGCTTGAGCTCGCCTTCAATTGCGAGGGTAATGTTGATACCCGCCTGTAGTTTGGATTCTTTAGATTCATGAATGGACTCATTCAAGGCCTCAATTCTGTTGTAGATGCGATCCACACCACACTACCCAATTGATCGAAGGTTAGACAAGCGGCAGAGAACAAGTCAAACAACAAACAACAGGGGAGCAGAACTTGCCTTGAGATGCTCGGTTAAATCTGCCATGAGACTGCGCCCTGGGAAGGTCCTCTGGAAGATGTCAAGCCCATAGATTGTGTTGACGAGGGTGAGAGCAGCGCTCAAATCGTACGACACGGTGATCGAGTCTGGTGAAAAGTAGTCGCGATGCTTGTTGAATGCAGTCATCAAGGCGTCTTGAGCAGTCATGATGGCGCGAATCAAGAGTTGCTCCTACATCAAAAACGCAAAAGAGAGTCAGTTTGTCAAGTCTCGGAGCAGCAGCAAGTGAACAAAATTGAGCTTGATAGAGATGCCGTACATCGCCAATGTTGAGATCTTTCAGCTCGTCCTTCTTGGCATTGATTGTCAAAAGCAGCTCATTCAACGGTTTGTACACTGCTTGTTGGTCTGCGAGCAATGTTGCCAGAGTTCCGGCGCGACTGTTTTCGAACCAACCAAACCAGCAAAAAACCAAACAAACAAAAAGCACAAGATTGAGCGCTCGACTTGATTCCCATATCACTGCTACGAGTTTTGGGCGACCACTCACATGATATTCTGATGTAGCAAGGTCAGGCCGTGAGTCAGCGAGAAAAGACGCAGCACGTTTTCGGCATGGTCGGAAAACACGCCTTTCGAGATGATCGACCCCGACGTGCTTGGAGCCGCTGCGAACAAGTGTTCAACGTTGCGCAGCACACTAATCCAGTCCATGGAAGTGTCTGCATCGGTCTACCGGACAGCGGAAATGCGCATTAGATGAGAATCGTTTTGGCCAGCTGGTATCCAAGTCAAAGACAGCTCTTACATCCAAAAAGTCAAACCAGACTTTCAGCCCAACTTCGCCCGAGATGCTGGAAATGACGGAGCGCTTGGTCAGCGTAAGCCATCCTTCGTAACCACTCAGGTTGACGGAAGAGAGCGGGAGCACAATCTGGCCCATAAAGTCGTTGCCGTCGTCGCTGCGCCGCAGGACTTTGGCAAATACGTTTGCCCTGGAAAGGATGGTCTTTTCATCCCAATCCCTGCGGATGTTGCAAAGAAGCAAGTGAGAGAACGTGGAAAAGCGATAACAACATCGAGCAACGTTGTCCACAACCAACCTACCACATTTTGACAACGAGGTTGCACTTTGATAAATCCGGGACAACACTAGACACGAGTGAATGGGCGAGAGAGAACAGGATGAGGAGAACAACAACAACAAAAAAAAACTCGGCCCAAAAAAAAAACGCGCAACTCATACAAGTGAAACGTTTCATCCCACTGCGGATTGAGAGACTGCTTGACAACTTTGGTTTTGAATGACTTCTTTTCATTCAAGTCGGAGCTGTCGCCGGTAGTCAGGCCCACCAAACAGAACGGGTCGGAGCTGCCTACACTCGTGCAACAAGTTAAAAAGTGAGGAGACAACGCGCGAAACACCAAAAACCACCATCAATAATGTCGATTGCTGCAACAAACCAGATAGATCTTTGGCCGCGAGATGGCGACCGCCAATCACTGCGCGGCACAACAAAACAAAGCCAAAAGCAAGAAAAAAAAGTTAGTCAGCGCACCAACTCGTGGATTCAACAGCGAGCAAGCATCGAGGATTGTCTTACCGTGAACATGCACGTGCGCCTGCTTGAAAGTTTTCTGTCATTTCGCAAGTGACAAACCACAGCCAGCAACAAGTGAGATTCGTAAAAAATTCCACAAGCAAGACACGAAGGGGAAAAAACACCCAAAGTCATTCCCATACCGATCCAGACTGGAGTGCGCGCTTGGTGGCATCTGCGACTGCAGCTTGATGAGCAGTCTCAGTCATGTCGAACGCCTTGCGAATGGTGTCGAGCAGCAACGGCTGCGGGATTTCAGTGCGAGCACCGAGACTGCTGACGACCGCATTGATCATCTCCCGATACAGCACGGACGGCTGAAAGTGAGGTCGTTCGTTCAACGCAATATTCCCACAAGGTTTGATGCGGTGTGATACGTTAGCATCAATGTCATGCAGAATGATTCAATTCCCAAACAATCTGTGGGGCAAAATTTCAGAATTTCAGCCAAGCCTCACCTCAATGCCAATCGACTCGGTTGATCCGAACGGCGAGAGCGTGAGTGGCGTTGTGCCTGTCTTGGGCGATGCTCCTGCAATGGGACTGCGACTTCCAGTTGTGAATGCGCGCGCACGGGTTGGCACTGCAAGTGGGCTACTCGAAGCACCAGCACCAGCACCAGCAGCACCAGCAGCAGCACTGGGATCGGATGACGTCGGGACGGCCAAACTGCCCTTGCGCAGCGCTGCAGCGGTCGCATCACCTGAGGCACCAACGGCACCAGCAGTACCAGCGTCCGCACCGCCGTCTGAAGCAGACGCAGACGCAGACGCAGACGCAGACGCAGACGCAGGAGTGTCGGTGTCGGTGTCGGGAGCAGCGATGACCGATGGCACTGCTGGCGACGCAGTTTTGACTTTCACCTTTGTCTCTGAATTGCTGCGTTTGGAGCGCGTAAAGTGCGGCAGTCCGAACGAGGACGAGTGATGATGCTGATGCTGATGAGGATGATGACCGCCACTAGCACCAGCACCAGAGTCAGAAGCAGCAGCAGCAGCAGCAGCAGCATTGTTGCTGGACTTGAACGAGGCGACTGCGGCAGAACGCAACGCATTCGGAGTGAACTGCATCAGGAACGGGATGGCCGAGGACGCTGACGACGACGATGACGACGACGATGACGACGACACCGACGCCAATGAGGATGCCTTGTTGGCGTGGGTTGTGGTGGTTGAGGTGGTCGAGGCTGAGGCTGAGGTGGACAGCGGCAAGTCCGACTCCGAGTCGCTCTGGCTCAGCGTGCTGCTGCCACTGCGCTCGCGTCCGTCTTCCTCTCCATGGCGATTGTGATGCTGCTGGTGGTGGTGATCGCTGCTCGTTCCATTGTTGGTGCGGTGCGATGAGGACGATTTCGAGTGGAGGGTCGAATGCACTTGGTGCTTGATGACTTTGAGCACATTCGACATTTTTGGTTGCTCAGTTCTGCTGTTCTATGTGTATTCAAAGAGTCAAGATTTGCAAACGATTTGAATGAATGGTGACTGAGTTTGGGAGGTGAATGAAATCAAAAAACATAAAATGAAGATCGACTGAATGAGAATCAGAAGATCAGTGAAAACTTGAACAAACGGTGAAGTTTGACCAGCGACCCTGTTCAAGCTGCGACCTTGACGCTTGCTTGCTGTAGGAGAATCACTATGAGAGTGAGAGTGAGAGAAGAGGGTGTTTTGAGTGCGTTTGCTGCTGCTCTCAGTGGGTCTGAGACACCCCAGTTTTTGCCGGGGTTTGGTAGTTCAGCATCCACTTCTTTCCGTTGTTACTCTCAGCAGAAGCGACATCTTTCACTCGTCTCTCTGCGTTTTGGTAGCAAAAAGAGAAAGTAAATCAACTTCAAACATCAAACATCAAACATCAAAAATCCAACATGAAACCAAAACATGAACGCAGATTGATTTTCGTGCAAGTTTTCTGTTTCACTCTTTTTTTTTTTCTTCTTTTTTTGGCGCGAAAACGCTGAAAAACCATCACGAAACAACTGACAAAAGGATGCCGCTGTTGGAGAAGCTGTCGGCGTCTGGTGCTGCTGCTGCTGCTGCGGGTGGTGGTGGTGGTGGTGGCGGACGGCTGCCAGAGTCCGAATCAGCGGCACGCGTCGGCATCAGCGGCAACGGGGGGGCGCGCGGGCACGGCTGCAAGGACGCGGCGGGCGCTGGCTGACATGCAGGCACAAGCCGACGAAGCAGCGCGACTGGTGCTCGCCGCGCCGTCGCCGTCCCCGCCGCAGCGGATGCAGCACCATACTCAACGCGAGCACAGCAAGAGCAGGGTCAGGGCTGCTGGCGTGGAGTCGGACGCTCCATTGGCGGGAAACGCATCGGTCGTTTCAGACGCTTCTTCTTCTGCTTCAATTGTGCCTGCAAGCCAGACAGTGCTCGAGCAGCAGCAGCAGTCGTCGTCGAGGTCGCCACGGTCTACAAAGCGCGCAGATACCAACGTCATTGCGGCTTCGAGGGCTGAGCACCAGTCGAGCGACGCACGGGTTGCATCGGCGCAAGACGAGACGAGCGAGACCAACGAGACGAGCGACAAGGCCGTCGAGTCCGATGCAAATGCAGCGAGCAGTCGAGCTGAGATGCCGTCGTCGTCGTCGTCGTCGTCACCAACAAGCGATGGTCTGAATGCGGCGAGCAGCGAACGGCCGCTCAGCGCTGCAGGTCGCGCCGCTCTCGAACGCGCCAACCCGCTGCTGCCCCGCGAGAAGGCTGCCGGCTCCACGCATCCACTCCCGACAACAAAGTACATGTTATTGCAGCCACTTGCAAGTGCCGCCAGCAGCGTCGTCGTTGGCGAGGATCAGGCCAGGCTCGGCTCTGCTCTTGCGACGCCCGCCAAACCCAGCGGGAACTCGCGAGCCGCCGGCACGTCCACAGATGATCCGTTTCATGTCTCATCTCTGCGGGACAATGCCGATGCTCTTGCATTCATGCCAGCGAGTGGAACAGACCGTGCCGCTGCACGAAAATCGCCAAAATCCACGCCCATCTCGAGAATTGCTTTGCCTCGAACGGCCTTTCCCGACGGCCAGTTCGACCTGGCCCCTTCCGGCTTCGGCTCGTCGTCGTATGCAGCAACTGCCCCGATTCCATCGCAATGGGCCGGACCAAGTCGCTACGCAGCCGTCTCCAGTGACCTGCCAACCCCTCCGTCCCAGTGGCAATCGCGGCACCAGCAGCACAACCAGCAGGTGCTTGCGCTCAGCCTCAGCGCGCGGTCAAACCTTCCAGCCAAGTCGCACGCATCCGTCTACCGCGATTCGGACAGCGACTTGGAGGTTGATGTCGCCGAGAGCTCAATCGGCAGTCACGTTCACAACGACGACGACAACGATGACGACGACGACGACGACGCTGACCAGCCACGCGGATACATTGCTGGAGCCACCTATCTGAGCGACACCCCGACGCCGCGTGCGGATGTCAAGCTCGCGCTGACCCGGCTGACTCAGCGCCGCGCACAGGCAGTGCGCGAAGCATCGACAGGCCGACTCCGCTCCCCGTCTCCTCCCCTCGACCGCCGTTACCCTGGAGTGACGCAGCGCGCGACCATCTCGGTGCCCACAGGCTCGTCGCCGCAAATAGTGCACGACACACCCGTGGGCACGCGCCGGAATCGCGCCGCCGTCTCCATCATGGGCGACGCTTCCGACTTGTTCATTTCCTCCAATGCAAGCAGAAATGCCGATGCGACTGATATTCGTCGCAATGATAATGATGGTGATGATGACGACGATGATGAAGATCTTCCATCTCAAGCGACTGCGCAGGCTGCAGCGATCGCCCAAAGTCAAGCGCGGACCTCATCAACACCATCGCGCACAAGTGTCACTCCTGCGTCAAACGCCCGGCCATCTCCACGAAAGATCAAGCAAGTTTGTTCCGACAGCGACAGCGAGGAGGACGACAAGCAAGAGCAGGTCAGGCAACAGCAACAACAACAACAACCCCGCCCTGCGACTCAATCGACCACCAAGCACAGTCCATCAGCTGCATCTCGCTCGACACCTGCAGGTGGAGCATTCGTTGATCGCCTTTCCGACTCTGACGGTGCCGAGGACGAAATTGCCTCCACCATTTCTTTACCTCGCCGTGCGACAAGCACAAGCTCGCAGGCTAGTCGTCGCGCTGGCATCAAACGCAACGCTGCCCCTCTCAGCACCTCTCAAAAGCTGGTCAAGGCCGCGATGCGTGGTAGCGGCCGACGCTCGCCCGAGCGCTCGTTGCTCGAGGAGGAGGATTTGGAAGGATTTGTGGTGCCGGACAGCGCTCCTCTGGAAGCGTTGACAAGCAGCTCTGATGACGCGTCTGGCTCGAGTGATGGTAGCGATGCTGATGAAAGCGATCGGCGGTCAAAGTCATCCCGAAAGCAGGCCTCCCGTCGACGCAGTAGCAGCCAACGACACGAGAGATCGTCGCAACGTTTCAAGAACTCCGAGTTCCATCCTAGCTACGTGAATCACCCTGTGGTGTCGAGATCCAAGCGACGACGAGAAGACATCCGAAGCGACAAACCCTCCAGGAGCAAGAGCGGTGACAGCGGCAGCAGCTCTAGCGACGACGATGTTCGACCAATTTCCTCGCTGGTGGTGGTTGAGCAACCTTCCAAACGAGCCCGACAGGAATCGGATGAAAGCTCGACCACAGTCTCTGCCAAAATTGTAGCGGCGTCTGCTGTTACTGGGCATGTTTTGGCAATTGGTTCCGCTCGCTCGGCACAGGAGGTGGCAGCTTCCGTTTTGACCGCCATCGGCTCTGCGACGGAGGCAAATACTGCCGATGCCCCACCTGCACTGGTACCAAACACGTTCATGTGCCTGCGAGACCCAACCAGTGCGCAAGGCGTTGATGTGAGCGAGCTTCTCTTCCGCGTCTCGCACTCCGCCAGTGTTGTGGAAGCATATCGCAATATCGGTCGCTTCAACTACGAGGCAACCAATTGCTTCTTCAATGTTGCTTCCGAGCACCTTCTTGGCCCAATCCTGGTCGCGCATGTCCCTCCGCGACCCCTGTGTGACATTGTTTACTTGTATCCGTCGCTCGCTGCGCAGTTGCCGACGTTATTGATGAACGTGGCAGAGACCAGAGCTATGGATGTTGAAACGCGGCCATCCATTCAACAACAGCCAGAGACGGAGCAAGAGCCGGAGCAAGAGCCGGAGCAGTCGCCCGACATTGCTGTGGTTGCTGCAGCTTCCCTGACTCGCAGGAGACAGCCAGTTTTGCGGAATACGCCGAAGCCACCAACAGCAACAGACGCCCCGTCCAGCACTTCCAAGCAAGAGCCTGTGCTGCCACAACCCCAGCAAGTCGAACGTGAAACGCGCAAAGCTGCCGCTTCTCCCAAGAAGGCCGACGCGACCCGCTCACCAGCCAAAAATGTCACCAAAGAGGTCACTGCGGACACTTCTGCGGCATCGACGACGGACACTTCTGCAGCAACGGCTTCAAGTGCTCCAACTCGCCGCCGTACGAGGCGCGCATTGTCGACCGCGGCCCAGGATTCCCAGACCAGCGAGACCAACACGGCCAGCCCCATGGATGTGGCCACGACAGAAACCACGACTGCGGTTCGAGTCAAGCTCGAGCCACAGGCTGTGGCGCCCCAGACTCTGGACCGCGAGCTCGAACTGCTGCGGTCGCGTCGTCAAGAATTGGGCGTCGCGTTTCCCGTCTTTTTGCAATTTCTGCTCAGCGTGTCTGTCGACAGCGACTTTCTCGGCTACTTGGTTGACTCGGGCGACCACTACTTTCTTTCGGCTGTGCGACGGATTGACGCCGCTCTGGAGGATTGCAAGAGCATTCTCGTGGCCAGCGACAGTTGGAACTCTGAGTTCAAGTCCGCGCTCGACACGTATCCGCATCGCAGCGAGGTCGACTCGCGTGCGAACGACAAGTGCGAAGCGTGCGGGCGCGGCGCTCACACTGTTGCTGTCACCATTCACCTGCAAGGACCTCGCTATGATTCCAAAATGCTGCAAGAACTCCCGTGTGTCGAGGAAAAGAAGGAGGCAGAGGAGGAAGAACAGTCGTCGTTGCACAATAGTGCTGCAGTCCATCCAGACTCACCTCTGGCCCGAACGTCCGCTCGCAGCGCGTTTGAGTTTGTGGGGTCGGACGACGAGGCAGAGCACGAGCGCCCTCACACTGCATCCAGGCGCTCGACCAAGCACACTCGTGACAACCACTCTCAAGCAAGCGATCAAGGCGACGAGCGAGCGCGGCGTAGCCCTGGAGGCCACGTTGCAGTGAGCAGGCGCGGCAAGTCGTCGTCCGGCTCTTCCGACAAGGCCCGGTTCCGAGCGACCGCAAGCAAGCAGCAGCTGCAAATGGCGTTAGCGCCCTCTGTGGAATCGGTCTGCTTCAAGGTCGGCAAGTCCTGTGCAGCTCGTGCGGCCGTCTATCACGACCTCAGCCATTTCAAGTGGCAGTGCTTCATGACCTGTCGGAAGCAAGCGCGTCTGGCACAGGCCAAGGGTCAGTTGGACCAGCGAGACACGGTTGCCCACTGCCTGGATGACAGCAACTGGGTCTATGAAATGTATCACTCGTTCCGGGCTCTGCTCAAGCGGGGTCAAGAGTTTCACATGAAGCACGCTTGAACATTGGTTTTTGAGTTTTTGTTCATTCTGCAAACAAAATAAAAACGCGTTTGGTAGAAACGGCATATGATGGGGGCGAAAAAATGTATATTCTTGTGACGAGTGGAACAAGAAAAAAAGACACCAAAACAATAAGAGATTGGAGCGAGCAACAAAGGTAGAGAGGGAACAAAAACTATGACCGAAAAAAAGAAAACACACACATACACAATTACAATGAAGCCCTGATCGCGCTGCGTACGAGGAAGTATGAGATAACCAGGGAAGAAAAAGTACAAGGACAAAAGTGGGGGGGGGGAATGAGGCTATCATGGGCGCCCGCTGGAGAGCTTTTGTCGAAGCGTGAGCCCTTCAAACCGTTTGAATGTGTAGTTCAGGAAGGCCAGATCCTTGACGGCGTCCTTCTCGTTAATTTCTTCTACGAATGGATCAAGAAAGTTGGGGAAAACGAAGTGAGAGGGAAGACTACATCCGAAAATCTCTGTTGGTGGACACAAAGGGTTGGTGAAAATGCATTCATTACCTTGCTCTGGTGCGGCTTCTGGGAAGTCGTCGAAATTGGACGTGTCTGCGATAGATCGCACACCGGGATCGATTGGGGCGGGCGACTCACGGATGTGGTCCCAGTTGACACCCACAAAAAATGGATGAGCCATTATTTCGGCGACATCCTCGCGCCCAATTCGTCGATCGGCATCCGTGCAAAGGCTGTTTTCAAAAAGAAAGGATAATGCGATGAGTTCGGGTCATTGACAGTGTGAAACGGACTCAACATTGAAAAACTCGACAAAAATAATAAAGCACTCCGATTCGTACCGGGTGATGAGATCCTGGGCCTCGCGAGAAATCGGCACTTCAGGTGGGAAGATGAGGGATGTCCTCCAGGACATGATTTTCCGGTATGTTTCTTGAGCGGTTTCCGAGCAGAAGGGTGGGTAGCCGATGAGCATCTCAAACATGATGACACCCAAGGACCACCAGTCGCAGCTCTTGGTGTAGCCTGTTTGAAGGAAGACTTCCGGAGCAATATAATCCGGAGTACCGACCGTGGAGTACGCCTAAAGAAGGTTGACCAAGCAGAAGGTTGGCATTGAGGAGGTTTTCGCTTGCCCCAAAACAAAAAAGTTTCGCAACCACTTACCAACGCGCGACGATTCTTCTTCCACGTCATTGCCTTGCTCTTTGTGTCGTAGCCGCTAAAGTTAATTTTCTTTGGAGGTGCCCCGCCCGTGTTGGCAGGGTTCATCAAATTTCGATAGTAATCCGTTTGATGTGACTTTTTCAAACCGGTACACAAACCAAAATCGGACAGTTTGATATGGCCTTTAGGATCGAGCAGTAGATTATCTGGCTTGATATCACTGTGGGAGTGTTATTTGGACAGGCAGAGGAAATGGGGGGAAACGAGGCAAAAAGTGAGCGACGGCAAATTGCTGCCGAGCAAACAAAGTCACAAAAACAAAACAAGTTTGGCAGTACCGATGAATAAAGTTAAGCTTGTGGATTGAGTTGATTGCAGCCACGGATTCTGCGACGTAAAATCGAGTGACGTCCTGTCAAAAAACAAAATCAAGGATGTAGGTTGGAAATGAGTGTTTTTAACCTAACCAGTTGCGCTCAAAGTCAAATAGAAAATTCCTCAAACTTCTTGCCTCGGAGAATGTATCGTAGCGCATCAGCATGGTCATCATGTCTCCGCCGGAAAGGAACTCCATCACAAGGTAGAGCGAGGACGCGTCTTGGAATGAGTAAAAGAGCTGCACAACCCATGGATTGTCAGCTTCAGCTAATATATCACGCTCTGCGCGGACGTGTGCGACCTGTTTCGTGTCAAAGGGCAGTTCGATGGTGGTTAGCAGAGGGTTGTTTATACCAAAAAGAGGTTAGTGTAAGAATGTGGGTGGTTTTTTTTTTTTTGTTTGTTTGTTTTGTTTTTTGGGTCGTTTCCCTGTCAACCGCCCGGATGTCTCGCATTGGACATGACATTGCATCTCAATTTCGCATGACATGCCATCGACAGACTCGTGTTTGATGTCACGCAAGACGAGTGCGATTCCAACGGAAACGGATGGATGGAATGCAAAAATACAAGAAAAATAATAAAACGAAAAATAAAATAAAAAATAAAAAATGAAAAAACAACTCCTCCTTCTCTTTCTCCTCAACCCATCAAAGCGACCAAGGGCAGGCAAGCACAAGCACACTGCAGAATAAGCGTAAGAGTAAGAGTACGAGTGGAGTGCGGTACAAACCTGTTCCTTCTTGAGCATGTCTTCCTTGCGCAAGACCTTCATTGCGTAGATGTGCCCAGTGTCGATCTTTTGCGCCAGACGCACCTGTCAATCGAGAGGGGATCAACATGGGGCATCAAGGTGTGAGTAATCCGAAATGCAAACGAGATCCATTTGCAGAGCTCTCATAAGGAGAGAGAGAGAGAGCAACAAGGGGCAAGGGGAAAGAGGAGGAGGAAAACGTCGGTGTTTCAGACGATGCTGTGGAGCGTGCGTACCTCTCCGAAGGCGCCTCGTCCAATGACCTTGAGCGTGGCAAAGTCCTCGCTGCCGAGTCTGCAGCGCTTGAGACGCAGGAACTCGGTCTCCTTGGTCATCAGCTGGCGGCGCTTTTCGCTGCGAATGTCGATGAGGTCTGCCTCGAGCTTGGTTCTCCTGTTCGTTCGTTCGTTCGTTCGTTCGTTCGTTCGTTCGTTTGTGTGTTGTTATCAAGCCATCGTGAGTCATCCTGAATGACCCTTGGTGTCGTAGGTTGCTGAGTGCTGAGTGCAGAGTGCAGCATTCGCTCTTCCATCTCGTTTTGGTGCGCTGATACAAACACGAAGCGCCCCCGTCACTCTGCCTCTGCCTCTGCCTCTGCCTCCACTGACTCGCTCACTCTTGCTCTTCGCAATTCGACCCTCCTTCCCCCCCCCCCTCTCCTCCCAGACAGTCCCACTGCACTGTATGGATGGATCATCGATCACTGCCATTTTTTTGCTTTTCTTTTTTTCTGTTTTGGATCCCCATTCAATGCAACTCTGTCGCTGCACCGCCTCCCCCCTCGATTGTCAGCTCCAGCCCAAAAGAGACCGAGTCCAGCAACACGCACACAGCCTGTACGCTTGAAGCAGCAACCGCCATGAGCAAGCAGCAAGCAACAGACGAGCGAGGCCAATTCCCAAAAAAAAAAAAAAAAAAAAAAAAAGCCAAACAAAAAACAACGATTTTTTTTTTTTTTTTTTTTTTGGTGCAGCAAAATTTGTTCAAGTTGGCTGCATTTGCATTACAAACGAACAACTCTTCTTCTTCTCCTCCATCAAACTGCACCGACCACCACCACCACCACCTCGCGCCTGCTTCAAGATCACCGGAGTGTGGATTTGTGTCAAGAAATGCGACGGTTTGTACGCACCGCTCTGTGCGCTCGCGGTGCTGGGCGAGCAGATTCTCGTAAAACTGCTCTAGCGTGATTTTAGCAGCGGTTGCTCGCTCGAGGACGCGCTGCGAGAAGGTCATGCCGCAGTCGTCGTCGCCACCGGCACCAGCACCCGTGGCTGACCCGTGGCTGATGACGCCGTAGCAGCAGCAGCAGAAGAGCCCAGCGATGACGCCGCAGCAGCAGCAGCCGCGGACGATGACGATGATCCAGCCGCGTCCAACGCAGACGACATTGTCAATGCTCGGCTTCTCCAATGCTAGCGATTTGAGGTGGTTGCTGTTTTGGTCTGCTTGTTTTTTGCTCTCTCTCTTTCTCTCTCTCTCTCTGTCGACTCTCTTCTTGTTGTTGGTGGGTTGCGCAAAACCAAGCCGAAGAAGAAGAAGAAGAAGAGGAAGAAGAAGAAAAAACAAGCAGAAAACAAGAAAAGAAAAAAAAAAAAAGACGGGAAAAAAAAAAAAAGAATGATGGAAAAAAGTCCAAAATAATAAGACAAACACCTTAAATGGTGTGCGTGTTTGGACTGGCACATCACACACAATGCATGGACAGAAACACGCGATACGTGAAAACAACAACTACTACTACTATTTTGACTTTGGTAAAAATTCGTTGCGCAACAAAAAGATTTGGAACACGACAAAACAAACCAAAAAACCCTTTTTAGTTGGCCCACTCTTGGTGGAACGAGCCGGGCTTGTCGGTGCGCTCAAAGGTGTGTGCGCCGAAAAAGTCGCGCTGGGCCTGGACGAGGTTGGCAGAGGAGCGCTCGCGGCGGTAGGCGTCAAAGTAGGCGAGGGAGCCAGAGAAGGCCGGCACGGCAATGCCGTTCTCGATGGCGAGCGAGACAACCTTGCGCCACGAAGCCTGGCGGGTCTGGAGCTCGTTGGCAAACTCGGGGTCGAAGAGGAGCGATGGCAACAGGGCGTCGCGGTCGAAGGCCTTCTTGATGCGGTCGAGGAAGACGGCGCGGATGATGCAGCCGCCCTTCCAGATGCGCGCAATCGAGCCGAGCTGGAGGTTCCAGTTCTTTTGCTCGCCCATCGTGCGGATAATGTTCAGGCCTTGGGCGTAGCTGCAAATCTTGGAGGCGTACAGGGCGCGACGAACGTGGTCGGCCAAGTCCTTCTTGGAGAGGCCGCCGAGACGGTCGGCGGGAGCCTGGTGCGAGAACAGCTTGGCGGCCTGGACACGGTGCTCCTTGAGGCCCGAGATGAGACGCGAGTCGAGCGCGGCAGAGATGGTGGGGACGGGCACGCTAATCTCGGCAGCCGTCTGGACAGTCCACTTGCCAGTGCCCTTCATGCCGGTCTTGTCGAGAATCTTGTCGACGAGCTCGCCCTCGCCGTGGGGGTCCTTGACGCCAAAGATCTGAGCGGTGATCTCAATCAAGAAGGACTCGAGCTCGCCGCGGTTCCACTCCTCAAAGAGGGCCTTGAGCTCGGCGTTCGAGAAGCCGCCGACCGTGCGGAGAATGTCGTACGCCTCGGCAATCAGCTGCATGTCGCCGTACTCGATGCCGTTGTGAATCATCTTGACATAGTTGCCGGCGCCGCCAGGGCCAATGTGGGTGACGCACGGGCCGTCGACCTGGGCGGCAATCTTGGTGATGATGGGCTCCATCAGGTCGTAGCCGGCCTTGGGGCCGCCGGGCATGAGGGATGGGCCGTTGCGGGCGCCAGACTCGCCGCCAGACACGCCCATGCCCATGTAGAGCAGGCCCTTGGCAGCAACCTCCTGGGCGCGACGCTCGGTGTTTTCGTACCACTCGTTGCCGCCATCGACAATCAAATCGCCAGCCTCCAAGTGCTCGGACAGCTTGGCAATGGTCTCGTCGACCGGCTTGCCAGCCTGGACGAGGATGATGACGCGGCGGGGCTTCTCGAGCGACTGGGAGAAGGAGGAAAAGGAGGAGAAGAAGAGATGGTGAGATCAAAAGAGCATGTCAACAAGCCAAACAAAAAAAAAAAAAAAAAAAAGCTCAAATAGATGGCATACAGCGACAAAGTCCTTCATCTCCTTGAAGCCGACGAGGGGCAGGTTGCCCTCCTCCTTGGCGCGGCGCTCAGTGTCCTGGGTCTTCTCGTACGAGCGGTTGAAGACCGAGATTTGGAAACCCTTGGAGGCGACGTTGAGGGCGAGGTTTTGGCCCATGACAGCGAGGCCCACCAGGCCGACCTTGGAGAGCGTCATCTTTTTTTTGGTTGTGTGTGTGTTGGTTCTTGTAGAAGCGACTTCTGTGATCCGTGAGAAGGGGTTGGAAACAGTGAGGTCGGGGTGCATCAGATTCAACGTCGAATGCAAGTGTATGCCATGTAGTCAGTCATTCAGAGTCACACTCGTGTGATAGTAGTGTGATAGTTTTCATCGTCTTATCGCTTCATCATCCGAGTTTCACAGTATCATCGCTCAATGGTCACCAGTGCTTCCCACAGTGATTGATGCGGCCGTGACTGTGCGTTCTTTTAAGATTTGTTGTTTTTTTGTTGAGCTGCTCACGCACGATTTTTGATTGTTCAAAGAACGACTGAGAATGAAAAGAGTTTTGGTCAAATAGAATTAAAAATACGCTCAAGTTTGATGATGACGATGATGATGATGATGATGCGATGATTGAGATCTGAACCGCGGGGAAGAATGATGAAGTAAAAACAGTGAATGCGCGAACAACGGAGGAAAAAAAAAAAAAAAAAAAAAAAGCGAACAAAGTGGGGCGTTTTCACCTTCGCTTTTTCATAGTCTGCAAGTTGAGGATGTGTTTGTGGATGAAATGTGGTCGATGTTGAAACGCAAGCAGCTGCAGTCAAACTGATGACTGTGGGGAACAAGCGACAAAGAGACAAAGAGAGGGGGGGTGGATTTCCCCAATGCAAGTTGAAGCGAATGGCGTGAGGAGGACACGAACAGAGGTCTTTTTTTTTTTGTTGCTTTTTTATTCTTTTATTCTACTGCGTTTCCTGTCGTTTTCGCAGTGACACGCTCGGCGGTCTGCGTTCAGAAGCAAGTGCTGCTGTGGGCTTTTGCTACGTGTTTTTGAGGGGGGTTTTGGGGGGCACGACAGGATCAGCGACGCTCGTGTGTGCGTGTGTGACCGGAACGCAGATTCGCATCCCCACCTCACTTCAGTCGCTGCTCATCCTTCCTCCCTCGTTCCCTCGTTCCGACTTCAACCAGCTCTCTCAAACGAACTCTCTCACACAAAGCAAAGCAAAGACGGACGACGAGCGAGCAAAAAACAGAAGCGAACGCAAACACACACGAAAACGCGAGAAACAAAAAAAAAAAAAAAAAAAAAAACGGAGAAAACGAAAAAAAAAAAAAAAATGTTGGGAAACGAACAAAAAGTCAAAAAACTCACAAAGAGGAGGAGGAGGAGGAGGAGGAGCTCAGCCTTGGGGGTCGCTTTGGATGGCTGGTGGGCGAGAATCAACTTCTGAGCGACGGTGGGTTTGGTTGGAGGTCTATTCAGCAGCAGCTCGAATACAACAATGCAACCGCTCGCGATAGACATTCAAAAAGGAACATCTTCATTTTTGTACATGGAGTGCTTCAAACTCAACATTCAATGGGTCTCAGCGTGCGTGATCGAATTCGTCATAAACTACGACTGAATCGTACGAAACTCATGACTCAGGGGGTGAATAGACTGCGAGTGCTGATGATGGGACTGCAACCTGGATTATGAAAACCAGCTCCAAAGTGCGCTTGATCTTTTCCGTTCTGCTTCGAACTCGAAAGCGATCATGTTCCTCATAAACTACTACATTCCACAAAACACATGAAACACTGCTACCGTACAACAGAACACTAGTTGAACCATCTACAATCCAAATGGGCGAAAATCCGTACCAGTTCAAAAGTACATTGGAAAACACACAAACAGCGTCTCACAGAACAAGCAAAAACTAAAAAAAAAAAAAAAAAGGAGCTCGCAAAAGGAGTGGAGGACGGACGAGAAAACACAAGAACACAACTAAGACCAACAATGGCATTGGCTGAATAACGACAATCAACTACCAAAAACAAGAGGACAACGCGTGTCCGTTTTTTTTGCCTTTACACAAACGAAGCATCCTCATCGTCGTGCAATTCGGGCATTGAAACCACAGCGTGGGCCGGCTCGACTGTCTTTTTTGGTGCTTCCTCTGCGCTCTTGGGCTCTGCGCTCTTGGGCTCTGCTGCAGGTGTCGCAGATGCTGGTGCCGGTGCTGGTGTGGCAGCGGCGGCAGGCTCAGCGCCCTTGGGAACAGTTGGTGTGACGGGTGCGGGGCCTGCTGGTGCCGTGGGCTGAGCCGGCTTGGCAACAGAGCGAACAACGCGAGGATAGTCGGTCATGTTGAAGCTGGAGCTCAGCCGAGGACGCGAGCCCGAAGCCGCCGACGACGACGACGAGCCGGATGCTCCACCAGCGGCGGCCGCATTGGAGGTCATGGGTGTCATGGGAATGTCTTGCACGGAAGAGGACGAGCCCTTGGTCGGGGGGATGGTCTTGCCGCCAGCCTGTTGTTGCTCGTTCTGGTGGCGACGATGGTCCCGAACAAAGTAAATCACAACAATGATAAGGATGAGGCCGAGAAGGGCGCCAATGATACCGCCAGCAATGGCACCGCCGTTGGAACCACCGTCGTCCTTGTCCTTGTTGCCAAGAGCAGCGATGGAGGCGGCAACGGCTGAGGCTGACGAGGCAGAAATGACAGACTGGGAGGCACGCGAAGTGGCAGATGCAAAGGCCTCCGAGGATGCCGAGGCAGCTTGAGTCGCATGAGCAGATGCGGCAGATGCAGCTTCCATGGAAGCCAGAGACGCGGCGGAGGCAGACGAAGCGGACGCAATAGAAGCAGCCGAGGCAGACGAAGCTGATGCGATCGATGCCGAGGAGGCAGACGCGGCGGACGCAACCGATGCCGTGGAAGCAGACGCGATAGACGCTGCAGATGCCGAAGAAGCAGACGCTGCAGACGCAACAGATGCCGTTGACGCAGAAGCGGCAGACGCGGCAGATGCGGAGGAAGCAGACGCGGCAGACGCAACGGCGGCAACCGATGCTGCAAAGACAGACATTGTCGAGGCCTCATACTCGGACGAGGCAGAGGCAATGGAAGCGACGGACGCGGAGGAAGCAGAAGCAACCGAAGCGATGGAGGCTGCGACCGACGCCGATGAGGCAGAGGCAATCGAGGCCACGGTTGCAGACGAAGCAGAGGCCTCGGAGGCCAAGCTGGCGGCGGAAGCAAGCGCTGCGGCGACGGAGGCAGCAGATACGGCAGCGAGCGAGGCCTGGACTGCAGCGGCAGAAGAGGCGGACGCAGCAGACACAGAGGATGAGAACACTTCGGTGGCGACAGAGGCGACAGAAGCTGCCGAGGCGGACGACACTGATTTCACAGAAGCATCAACAATCGAGACGGAGGCAGCGGAGGCAGAAATGGACGCGGACGAGGCGGCAATGGTGGACATGCCTTGAGCCGAAACGCAAATGGAGCCAAGCAGAGTGTACGTGTTGGAGCAGGCAGTGCAGACTGATTGGTCAGGGCCGCAGGCGCGGCAGCCTTCAGGGCAGCAAACATTGTTGGTGTTGCAGGTGCGGCAGGTCGGGTTGCAGAACGTCAGGACTCCGCTCGATTCGTACATGCTCGGCGGCGGGTACTCGGACCAGACAATGTTGTCTGTTTCCACCGATTGCAGTTGGGTCAGACCGAAAAACAGACCTTCGGGCAGCGTGGTGAGCTGCGTGCTGGCGAGCGAGAACGTTGTCAACGTGATCAAGCCGGAAATGGCGTCAGCGGAGATGGCAGTCAGAGGATTGCGAGCAAGGTACACAGACTTGAGGCTTGGCACGGCGGTGAAGGATGCACCATCAACTTGCTCAATGTGGTTGCCAGACAAGTCAAGGGACTGAAGCGAAACGAGGGAGCCTCCGAAGCTAGAGCTGGGAACGGCATCCAGCTCGTTGTTCACAAGCTGCAGGTCGGACAACAGCGTGAAGGGCACAAAGGCATCGTCAGGGATGGCGCTAATCGAGTTCTGGTTGAGGACGAGCACGCTCACATCGGTAGGGATGCCATTCGGAACGCGAATCAGACCGCGGTTGCTGCAGTCGACCACGAAGCTTCCGTGGTTGCAGTTGCACAGACTGCTAGTCCAGCCATTGCATGCAACAAGGGCAGCCAAGGACGCAGAAATGACGGCAGCAGAGGATGCGGCAATAGCAGAAGTCGAAGACTCGATGGCATCAAGAGAGGCTTGCACAACCGAGGCCGACGACGCCATTGAAGCCGAAGAAGCAGACACGACCTGGTCGACAGACGAAGCAAACGCGGCAGAGGTGGAGGCAACAAACGCAGACTCGGAGGCGGCAACCCGCGCGGAAGACGCGGCATCGGCGGAGGCGGAGGCGGCAGAAGTGATGGACGCGACAGATGCCGTGGCCACGGCGAGCTTTGATGAGACAGAGTCGGAGACGCTCGTCGCAGAAGCGGCGGTGGCGGAGGCAATGGTGGCGAACGAGGCAGATGCCGTGCTGGCCGCGTACTGCTTGATCGACTCGATGGAGGCAGCGCTCATCGAAGAAATGGCAATGACCGAAGCGCTGGCGGTGCTGGCGGCGGAGGCAGACGAGGCGGAGACGCGGGTGGCCATGGTGGCAACGGAGCGTGAGACCTGGACGCCGAGGTAGTCGGGGAAGCAAGCACCGTTGATGGGAACGTAGCTGGCATAGCAACTAGTGCAGTACGGTGTCGACGCGTCATAGTTGCAAGTGGTGCAGTTGACCGCGCAGCAAACAACGCTCACACCGCTGCCAACGCACGTTGCGCAGGTCGATGGGCACGCGGTGATGACGCCCGTGCGAGTCCAGGGTGCTGGGGCGGGTTGCCGCCACCCATGGTTTGAAGCCACGAAACAGAGTGAGCGCGACAACTCTGACAGGCAGCGGGA